ATCAGGAAAAAGACTAGCCTGCCACCACACTCAAATTGCAACATAAAAACTGATTAGGCATTGTTCTTCACAGGAAACCATTTATAGCACGATGCAGTTTGGGCTGTTCTGGCTTAGGTTTGCTGTGACACATCTGCATAGGATTGTTTACACTCCTGGAAAACAAGAGACAGCTTACAGCATGGCTGGAGAAGCCTGGCTGCATTAATAGAGAGCTTAATGCAAGTGGCATCCAATAAATGCACCTGACCCTTTGTTTTGTCTTCTACGTCAATAATTGTGTGTATTTGAGGGGGACAGAGTGAAATTATATGTTGAATTTAAAATTCACGTACATTTTTCTGCCAGCAAAATCCTTCACCACTCATAAAAGAAAAACAGAAACGTACGACCTCATGAGCTCATGTTTCAAAAATGAAGCATCCAATTAAAAGAATCAGTCTTTTCCAAACAGCAGTCTTTCTTCACTTCCATTATAATCAAGCTCTATTATTTTGGCAAAACTATATACTTTTTTCATATGAAACAATGAATTCTGAGTAGCTGTACCTGAAAGCAAGCAGAAATTGAAGCTGTGGCAGAGAAACCCATGGAAATCCAGGGAAGATCAGGGACAATGGTTTTAAAAGAGGAGAATTTTAGATTAGAAACTCATTTCCCAGAGAGTGGTGAGGCCCTGACACAAGTTGTCCAGAGAAGCTGTGGCTGTCCCATCTGTGGAAGTGTTCAAGGCCAGACTGGATGGGGCTTGGAGCAACCTGGTCTAGTGGAATGCGTTCCCATGGCAGGGAGATTGGAATGAGATGCTTTCAAAGGTCCCTGCCAACCCAAGCCTTTCTATGGTTCTATGAAATCCAGAGTATAATTTGCCTTTAGTCTTGTTGTTTAACCTATCCACACTACTCATGGCCCTGAGCTACTCTTCGTCCTCAGTGCATTAGAAACTGCAGAGACTCCTTGCTTTTCTGCTAGACAAAGAAGCAGTATCCCACATAGTTCAGAAGGCACTGGTGTTACCTGAATAGTAATAAAACAGTAAATAATAGTAAGAGAAAACTAAATCTGTGTGCTAATATGAGACTATTATGTAAGGAAAAGGAAGTAGGAGGTTGAGCAGTCCCCCTGGTGACTCCTCTCTGGTGAGGAGAAGATGGACCAACACAAGGCACTAGCATTAAGAAGAAATGTTTCAAAATGTTTTTGAAAGAACAGAACAAATTTGAACACCCCACAATAGCAAAATGGGGACATTACAGCCACAAACTAAGAGAAGCAAGGCTGTAGCCAAGACACTGTGCACAGCATGAAACATGTTATGGACCTCTGTAGGCTGAGTTCCTGCCAAGCCAAACCAGAAGATAGCTACACTAAGCTCTCCCGAGCTGGAAAATGTATTTTGGTATCAATAAATTAAATGCAGAAATTAAGTACCAAAAAACTTTTTTGGTCATACTCCAACAGCAGCAATAGTGAATATTATTTTAAGTTGCCATTACAAAACACATCTGGGCAAGGGAAGCACAAATCAGATAGACAAGTCACACCAGAAAGACACACATCAGAATTCCAGAAGTGAGACTATTCTGTTTCATTGGGCTTCTTGCACTGGTTTGGTGGAAACTTGTGACTCTACAAGAAATATTATGATCAGTAGGACGGGTGGAATATTACAAAAAGAGGGTTCAAATCACAAACTTTGAATTTTCATAAAACATCAAGCCAAAAAGTTGAAACGTAAGTTAGAAACAGATCCTTAAGTCTGTAAGAGAAACAATCACCATTTTCCATAGGAATAAAATCCAAGCTGTCCAAGTGCATCCTGGTGTTTCCATTGCCTATTATACTCCAGGTTCATGAGGGAGCTCAAAAAATAATGCAGGAGCTGTCATTGCTTTAAGTTGTCATAAGATGCAGCAGCAAATGGTATGTCTGGCAATGGGGAATGTTTTTGTAGACTCATTTATTTGTGGAGGATTGTGTAGCACCCTGCCAAAAAAAAAAAAAGGTGAAGGATGAAAACGTGTTAGCTTCTTCACAGGAGACTCCACAGGTCCTTGGGGGTCATTATAGTGTCTGTCTTTGCTTCAGTACTGCTTAATTTCATCACATCCAGGACTCTTCACAAATCCCACAGGAGAGTCGTAATGATTGCAGGGTTGATGTCACCACATCTCTCAGGGGTGTGATTGACAACCTGAAGTTTGCAAGTTCATGTGCCATTTCACCTGCTGTGCTCACCAGGCTACAGAGGGCATTCTCTTTCTTCCTTCCTGCTTTTCAATGGCCCCATGAACTCCATTGACCTGTGCAGTAGCTCATGTGTCTCTCCAAAGAATTAGTGCATGTGTAACACAACATCAGCACCTTGATCTGTGTCATGTATTCAGAGTGCCACATGCCCTCCTCCAAATCAAAAACTGCACAATTGTTTAGGTTGGAAAAGATTATTGAGTCACGTTGTTATCCCAGCACTGCCGTATTCACCACCAAGCCACGTTCACATCTTTCAGACACTTCCAGGGATAGTGATTCCATCATTTCTGTAGGTAGCCTGTTCCAGTGTTCCATCCCACAGCAATCCTCAGTTCTGTGAGGCAGTCTCCATGGCATGGAAATCCAGATCTTCTTAGGCCTGTGTTGAGGAAGCTGTCTCATGCTTTTCTACAGTCATCCTAACTAACTAAAGAATTTATTGGCAATTTCCAAGGGGAACTTAATTTAGATTTGACCTAAGAACCTCCATTCCTTACATTACTACTGTCCTGCTAATCTCTAGGCTGTAGATTACTGCAATATGACCACAAAGTCCAGAAAGGAAAGGACAGAGAAAAAGCAAAAGGGAAATCATGAAGTCCTTTGGAAATCACACAAAGGACACCCTTTCTGCCTGAACCAAGATCAAGAATGTGATTTGTAATGAAAACGAACCTCACTCTCCTAAAAGAGTTGTTGGACAGGAAAAGTGATTTTCAGTAGCTTTAAGAATGAAGTTGGGTAATTTAAACTTTTTTCTCTAGGCGTGGAATGTAAGGAGAAAAGAGGTAATGGGGGGCATAGCCCACTGCAGTCAGGAACTTGGCAACTTTTTGAGTTCTTGTAAGTTTTGCAAACAAGGGTACCACTACTAAATCAACAATCTAGGTGCAAACTGTGGCTGTCTCACCATAACAGAAGCTGCAGCTCTCTGGAGGGGATTTTGGTAGTTCCCCTCCAGTTCTCCTGCTGGCATCTGTACACCATTGTTTCCCACATTCCATCTGTACATACCAAGTACACCCAAATAAAAAAACTTACCAGATCTTCCACCCAGCTTTTGCAATGGGACTAAAGCTCTGGGGCCAGAGTTGTTCTTGTGCCATCTGTACCTTGATTGAAAGAATTTAAAGGATCCAGGTTACATTTAAACTCTTCTACCCAGCTTTTGCAATGGGACTAAAGCTCTGGGGCCAGAGTTGTTCTTGTGCCATCTGTACCTTGATTGAAAGAATTTAAAGGATCCAGGTTACATTTACCCTCAAGTTTAAAGTTTGCAACCCTGTTCCTCAACTCGTTTATTTCAGCCTGAGGTTCCTATTTTATTTCCATACAATAACTTTCCATAAGGCATCTGTGCTAACCCTAACTAAAAGCAACCCCAAGCCCTGCACTACCTTCACAGTGGCTGATCAGACGAGGCAGTTGCTCACTGAGTCCACGTCCCACTATCAGTTAAACTTCATAGCAATTATTTATAATACAGCCATTTGATAACAATTACTAGTAGTAAAGCCTTATCCTGTGTTCTCTGTACTTAGCAAGCTCTGCTTTGCAGCATCTTCCTGGGTTAAGATGCTTTGGCAGATTTTTATTATGATTTTGGTCTCCTCAATTCTATTTATTACAGGAGAGCTCATGCATGCCTCAGGACAAACTCAGAGGGGAACACAATCTGCAACCAAATGAGTATGTGCATCTTCATAGAATGGCTCTATCAAGGCTCCACCATGACCAAAATCCCTGCTTCACAGGGAAGGCAGCCATCCAGTTCTCAAATCAGTAATTCTGGGCTTGGATGTGTCACATTTACATGGTGTATTTGAAAAAAAGGTGTAAATCAAGAGCTAAAACTGCGTTGTGGTCACCTATAGATCTATATTATATATTTTCATGCAAAAACTAAGGCTGCACAATGCTCAGTTACAGCTATTGCATCCACCTGCAGATTGATGCAATTAGAAAACATTTCCAAGCATTCCAATCTTCCTCTGTACACCTTTTTAATATTAAGAAATACTAGAAAATTACATCTGGTGACAGTGTTTTGTTAGTAGCCTGTGTCTCTGCAGTCCTGAAGTGGCTGCAGGGAGAACTGAACAAGCTGTAGTCTGGAGAGGAAAACAAATATCCCTATTTCTGGGAACACTGCAGCTACAACACTTTGTTCTCACTAAATTTTGCTTCTTCCCTGTAGTTTGTTCTCACGTTGTTGTGAACCTCTTCTCAATATAGTATTTTTATGTCACATCCAAAACAAACCAAGAGAAAAACCAGAAAACACAGCACATACTAGGAAAGAAGAAAAAAAATAATGCACAGGTGGTCACTGGAAAAGGTTGTTGAGTTTCTATCACTCTAGGTTTCCAAAAACCCCACAGGACATGGTCCCAAGCAGTCTGACCCTGCTTTGAGCAAGAGGGTTGGACCAGATAATCTCCAGAGCTTCCTGCCAACCTGTGATGTGTGGGCACTAAGAACTGTTAAGAACTCTTTGCTGTATGCAGATCTCGGGCAGCATCCTTAACAGTAAAAAAACCTGTGCAAAGAGACCTCCAGAGCCTTTAGCTGGCTTCTGGTAGAGCCTGACATGAAGGAAGTCACAAAGTACTGGAGATCTGTAATTCTCTGGGAAAGTTCCGGCTAAGAGCTGTGACAAGCTGATTTATTTTTTTTTTTTACCATAAAAGACAATTTCTGAACAGTGTTTGCTCTAATAAGTAATGGCTAAGTGACAAGCTGATTTATTTTTTTTTTTACCATAAAAGACAATTTCTGAACAGTGTTTGCTCTAATAAGTAATACATTAGGCTCTTACAAGTAAGAATTATCGAAGTTTTAGTAAAAGTATCATCAAAAAGGATTCATGCTAGGTAGTTTGGGCATTCAAGTGACAAAATTAGATAATCATGGTTCCTTCCTTCCAAGCCAAACCATTCTATGGAGTCTAAAACCCATATGTAGTCCATAAGAGACTGGCTGATATGCCTGCCACTCTCTGAAGGGTTCATTAATAGCCCAAAAAGCCCCTGGTCCTGATCACCCACTCCCAGCTGGGTGGCAAGAGTAGGCTTTGTAAATTAATTTCATAATGGCTACAGAAAACAGGATCACCAGGATCACAGAAAACTTCAAAACTGCTAAAAACCTTACTGAGTGGGAAAGCTAATGAAAACACCAAGAAACCTAAAAAACTCCAACCAAAAAACCAACCAACCAACAAAACAACAAAAACCACAAACAAACAAAACCAAACCAAAACAACTAAAATCATAGGAAGTTTTAAGTAGGACCAGGTCTGGAGTATTGGACATTTCTAACAGTTATCACAGAATCACAGAATGGTTTGAGCTAGAAAGGACCTTATAAATCATCCTGTTTCATCATGCCTGTGGGGGCAGTCCTGGGCTTCAAAAATGGTGTAAGACCATTTGATTACTCTTCAGTCCACAGTGCTTGAAAACTTATCTTTTCTGTACCAAATAATTCGAAGGCCCTTTTTCTCTAGAATTAATTAGCAGGTTCCCAGGTACTGATTTTCCTATTTTAACACTTCAGCAACATTTCACCAAAGTTCAGTGAAAACACCAAACCAATCCAAGATGATTAACTACCTCTGCATGCCAGTCATAGCTCTACATGCCTCAAGGTACCACCAAGTTCTCTTTTTTTTCACAGTTTAAATCCTTAGCATACTAATCCTACTCTCAGTTGCCAGTATTGGAAATACCAGGCCACTAGATTTCAAACTGCAGCATCTGTGCAAAGACTGAAAATGATAAAAAATACTATACCCCTTGTCAATCTCAGTTCTTACAACTGATTTTTTTTTTTCAAAGCTTTTTTTCCTGTCAGAGTGTCAAGGTCCTGACACAGGTTGCCCAGAGCAGTGGCTGCCCCATCCCTGGAAGCGTTCAAGGCCAGGCTGGACAGGACTTGAAGCAACCTAGTGGAAGGTGTCCCTGCCCATGACTGGAGAGTTGAACTGGATGAGTCTTAAGATCCATTCCAATCCAAATAATTTGATGGTGATACTCTGCCTCTATAGCAGACTGAAATGCCCCAACAACAATTTCTTCTTGCAAAGGAACCCACAAATACCTAAGAGGTACTAAAGGTACCTCTCCCCTAACTTTCTCTTTGATAAGCCATATTAAGCTCTAAATTTATCGTAAGGTAAGTGTTTATTTTCTGCTGGAAGAAAAGAAGATTGAAAGATTCTCAGGACAGACTTTGAGTAGGGGAAAAAACTCAGTTCCACAGTTTGGATGGAAACCATGCACAGGCTGTTAGTAAACATTCTTCATGGCTTACATCAAAACTTAGGAAAAGAGCCAACCATAGACACACAGGTGCTAAAGATACTTTTTTTCCAATACATACAAACTCCAAAGCAGTATTTTTCTAGTTCATTATCCTAAATTATGATCAGTTTTCTTTGGATTCAATGTTGCCAAGCTGAAATCATTGGCCTTTGTGGGGATGCACAACCACCTTCACCTGTGAAATCGTAAGACTTCAGAAACAATTTCTGCATTAGAAACAAAAGCATATAGTCTTATTTCAAAACTTTTGATTTTTAGGTTTTAGATAGGGAGTTTTGTTTGTTTGTTGCTTTGTTTTGGTTTGGTTTTTTTAAATCCCATTAACTGAGTAATTTATTCTGTTCAAAGGGCCCTAAGGGCCCTTCTTCTATTTTGCTCTGAAATTTCAAAAGCTCAGGGCTTTGTTTTGTAAGTCAGAGAAATATTGAGACTGAAAATACACTCAGCACAATGGTCTAACCTTTCCAGAAAACATGCAGTCTGCTGTGATTCCCTGCATTTTTAAAGGACACATAAATTCCCCCTAGTTTCAGTACTTCCTCTAACTTCAGTTCACTTTCTCAGCATCCTTTTTTGAAAATTCATGTGTGTTGCTGCAGCACCACAGCACGTCCATTAAACTGCTCAATTCAAAGCAACTCATTAGTGCCATTTCACTTGCTCTTCAATTTATCCAGTTTTCTGATAAGAGAGATACAAGCCTATTGCCTGCTAATTCCCAGTAGCAAAAATTATCACCTACTCCTTCTTCCATTGCAAGAAAGGACATCAAATTAACTTCAGGAATGAAGATGCAGCTTATGAGGGACAGGGGATATGCAAGTATTGTTTTACATACTGAAGTTTTATTTTTAGCAGTTTGATGATATTTATAGGGCTGTGAGACGTGGATACATGGCTGCAGGGGGATGAAGTATCCCAAGGGCTGGTAGTAAAAAAGTTGCACATCTGCCAGGCAAGACAAAATAACAGGCAGTGATGCCTGGAGTTCATGCGAAGGAGACAAGTCCAAATGCTCCAAGCACCTTATCTTAGTGTCATTATAAAAAAAATCATGTTCAAAAAACTCCAACTGTATCTACCCTACATTTTAGGTCACCTTGTCTATTTCTTATTTGTAAAGGTATTCATATGATGAAGTGCTGAAATACACAAATTCAATAAAAGAATCTGAAGAACAAGTTGAAATTTGGGAAAGCCGTAAGAGAAGAATGTCAAGAATGAACACACTGATTACCAAAGTTCCTTCTTCTAAATTTCTCACATCACCTCGAGACATCCCCACCACATGCTTCAACTTGCCAACCTTAAATCAATCCCTTCTCACAGAAACATGAAAAGCTTTCAGATGTTAAACAATTTGCTGTCTTCAAAGAACTGTCAAATAGTCCACTGTAATTGTCCATACCTTTGCTCCAGTCATCACTAAAGAGGCAAACAGAAGTCTTACATAAAACATGAGAATAAACTGGACCAGAACTCAACAATATAGTGAATCTATTAGGTGCTGAATTCACCTTACACTATTTCTTGGTATCTATTTTTGGCTGGGGAGAGCATATACCTTCACCTAAAACTGAAACTGTAACTTAGGGCAATGTTCTTAGTCATAAGTGCTTAAGAAAAGTCTTCTCTCTCTCTTATATTCTCATGGCCTTCCAGTCCTACATATACCAGGGACACTCAAAGCACTGCAAAAGCCCAGGTGACAATGAAAATTTGATACAAGCCAGAAGAACTGTGTGTGTCACCTGCTTTGGACCCTTCACAACTGGGTATGGAAATACAGACCATTCCTTATGCTGACTTATGCAAAGACTGTCCACTGCCAATAACATCACTATTAAGCCACTTTTTGTCATCCTGTAGCAATGTGGAACTTTCACAACTTAAAGCATAACTTCTTCACTTTTGATTGCTGTGGTTTCATTAAAACAAGAGTAAAATCTCCCAAATAGCTATCAAAACCTTAACTACCTAAAATGACATACTGGCAGGGTAATTATTTAACTAAATAAAGAAATGTGGAATGTTTCATTTATAACATCTTATTCTCCTCAATCCTGAGCACTAAGGACATCAGAATCCAAACCAATACTGTTTTCAATACAAAGGTAATACAAAAATAATTCGTTTCATAACCCACTATTCCAGTATTTGCACGTCAAATTTACCAGGCCGTTTCTCCACAATTATACTCTACACTATTTTAGAACTAATGTTGATGGAAAAAGAAGACAGAAGGAAAAAAGAAGTTTATGAAGATCCTCGTGACTTAGTTTATAAGACAACTGACATTAGAGAAAACCAAGAGCCCCCTCTAGGGGTTACTGCAAGTTCTAACATAGGTGGATTCAGAACAGGTTATAGTTAATGGTTTTTAGGGTTTGTATTTTTCAGTTTGAGTTACTCCAATTGAAATTTAACCTTAACTACAATATCAACAGTAAAGTGACAGTTTAAAAAGAAAAGACTGACTCAAAAAACTGTATTAGACTTTGGATGAAACCTACTTACAGTACTTCAGCACCAAAACGTGGGCAGTTAGGCTTATACATTTATATACAATTAAATGATGTCAAAGTCATAAAATGCTTAGTTATTTATAATGAAATCTATACAAAACAGTTAAAAACATGGTTTTATATACATTTTGGAAAAAAAAAAGTATTGTCTCAATTACCAGAATGTATTAAAACTGGTTCTCTTGTCCCATCTGAACCCAAACCGCCCTCTGTGACATGTAACTACCACAAAACCCCAATGTATTGCTTCAACAAGCCAAGGCATAAGGCTATATTTGGAAACCCACCATTGTATACCCATTTAAGCTTTTAAACTCCCCAAATGGTCAATTTTAAAAACAGCATGTAAGAGTAAAATATAGATTTTTAGAAGTCTTAGCTCCCTTCTAAATTCTCAAGTTCAACTTGGAAAGATGTTGAACTATTTATCCCCAGTTTTGAAAAACTGATTAGTAGCAAAATGTACTTCCTTCTCCCTGGTTTGTACTAGAATTAATACAACTGCCTGTTTCACAGGAACTTTTTCCAACAACTTGTCTCACTTTAAATTTCGTATTTAAATAAATAATCAGAGGTTAACTAGAGTAGATGAGCATTTTGTATGCTTATGGCAGAAAGAAATGCCTCATCTACTATGACCCTACTTCTTGCAAAGCATGAAAACAAAACTCCACTAGCAAATCCACTTTGCTACCAGTTAGCAGTTTTGCTTATTTCCAAACATTCACCAATAAGAATTTTAAAAAAAGTATTTTAAGCTTCTGAAAAAAAATTTTTAAGTGAGCAGGTGTGCAAGAAAGCCAACCAATTCCAATATTCCTGGGGCTTTTCCAGCACTGTCAGACACATTTTTTCTCTCACATGCTATTTGAAAAGAAAAATATTTATTATATGTTTTCTTTTTTAATGGTGTTTTGCTCAACAGCTAAAAAGACACAGCAAAATAATGATCCCTTTTCACTTAAAGATGTTTCAGTATCTGGGCAAGGGCTCCAATAGCACAAGCTCTAGAATTCATTACAGATTTGTTTTTGAACTGGAGTACATTCCACTGTCACAGGTTTACTAAATCTTGGTACCTACATCTTCTTTTTTTCCAAAACAATTTTTAAGATTCAGCTTTTGCAATACTGTCTTGTTAAAACCTACTGAGGCTTCAAGAGTCCAATGAACAATTCTAATAGGCAAAGTGCTCTAAGACATCACAATAGAAGGGCATCTTGGATGCTCAAAATCCCAAGGTATTTTAAAGTACACTCCAGTGTCTCTATTCCTTAGGATTGTTCAACAGAACTTTGAGAGGGGCTGGGCTCAGTGCCATCCTCAGTGCTACTGTCCACATCTTGCTCCATTGCTGTCTCCTCATCATCGAGGCGCTGACTGGTGAAGTTGTTGAGCTCCAGGAGTCCGCTGGGTTCCACCACCACATTGGAGCTGGAGTGACAAGGGATGGGATAGTGAGGGATAGTCTGAAAGAAAGAAAATATTTAAGTTCAATGAACAATATTGAAGGTAAAGGCATCTGTGCGAGCACAGATTTGTGGAAAAGGGATTATTTGGTTTCCAAGGGCAATTTTCCCCAACTGAGGCTTCAAAGCAGCCTTTCACTGGATTGGGTTTTGAAAGGTAAAATTTGAATAATCTTGCTCTGCAGGTCTTTGATCTTCCCTAAAGGTCTGTGACAGCATAACAAATGCCCATCATCCACCATTCTGCAAACCCAAACAGAGATAATATTTTCTTCAGCCTGATCTTTTTTAGACAAGACATGGTGACGTGGTGATAAAAGAATAACCTGAGTTAAAATGACTCACAAGGACCATAGAGTCCAACTCCTGGCCTTGCACAGGACAACACCAAGAATCCCACCAGGCAGTGCATTGTCCAAGCACTCCAGGAGGATTCTGTTTTTTGTATACAACAGAGTTCAAGCTGTGGCCCTGCTCAGAGCTGCAGCTCAGAGGCTGAGGAAACACAATTGCTATTTATTTCTAAGATTATTATGGTTATTATGTTAGTTATTTTTAGTTGTACTTTCATAGGTTAAAAAGCTAAATCTCTGACTTGATACAACTGAAATTCTGGGCATTATTTGACTTTTGAAACAGCTCATAGCATGCCACAATGATAAATAGCATCAATTCTCAAAAGATACAGGTTTGAAGTAAAACAGAAATCTTTGTCTATATAAAGAAGACTAAAAGTGAATACAGAACTGGTAATTTCTACGAAAGAGAAGTTAGCCCCAGTAAAGACTTCACTAAGTATCACAAAAATTTGAAATCTCTATACACAAACTGTTTCCCACATCAGAAGTATTTTCACTGTAACACAACCATGATACATATTAAATCAATTTCAATTGTCAACAAAGATTCACATTATACCAGTTGGAAGACTTCTATACCTCCTCAGTTGACATTCTGACAACTTATTACAACATAAACCATCATATTTAAGGCAGCAGAATCAATGAAAATATCAAGCATAGCAGTTAGGAAATGATTCAAAGCATTTAGGCTAAAGATCAATAGCAATTTTATCTCAGAAGTGGTCTTACCCTAAGTGAAGTTAAAAAGTTTTCTTCTGATTTCAGACCTTATTTGCTGAACCCTTCCAGTAAGCAAACCCTACAATGTCATTAATTTTACACTCAGAAGCAACTTTAATAGATAATATAAAAGATTCTAGCACATAACTCCATATTAAGTGTTGAAGCAGTTTTAAGCGTTGCAAATGAAAGTACTTCATAAAATGAGTTTGGTTGTTTTCTTAAGAGAAGGAAGACACTGGAGACAGAGTAAATGATACACAGTACTAGAGAAACCTGAGCCAAATGAAGAAGAATTACACTTCAATATAGCAATTGATTACAAGCTAAGAGTAGAAACAGAACCAAAACCTGGGAATAAACCCCCAAGTACTCAATCATTCAGTAACTATCATCGTATCAGACACGTGTTTGCTGTGCTCAATCTTTGCCTTATTTGCTCAGTCTTCTCTTACCTGGACAACAATTTCTGATGAGCTCTCTTCAGCTTTCTTTTGTGATATATTCTGAATGTGTATAAACTGGTTTGTTGTAGGTATTCCTTGTGCATCGAGTTTCCTCTCTGTTAAAGTAGGACCAACAGCAGGAGGACTTGAGCTGGATTCTGTGTGTGTCTGTTGCTGGGGGATGGAAGGTGCCGTCATCCCTACTGCAGCCACCCTCGGGCCCTGGGTACAAGGTGACGACTCTGCTTCACTAGCAGCTTTACTAGTGGACGTGGCCTTGTTTGGGGGATCCACTATCGTGTGCTCTATGTTTGCATCAATCTGAGCTTCCACCATAGACACTCTCAATATATCTGCTACTGATGTCTCCGTGGGTGCCTGCATGGGAAATAGGCTGGTAACCAGCAATGCCAGTTTGGGCACAGAACTGCCACCTGCTACCTTTGAAACAAAAGGAGGCTCATGCCCCTCAAAAGTTATCTCTGTAACAGTGGATCCTTGCATTACAGTTAGATGTTGCACCTGAAAATCAAATTTTTGTTGTGCATATTACAGTTAATATATTTTTTATTGAAATCCTCATCAATATTTCCAAGGACAAAATGGCACAAACATACTTGCTATTAGGAAGACAATTGAAACTCAGTGTTTTAACAAAGGAATTAGCAATGATAGGGCAACAGTTAATTGAAGCCTGGGGAAAAGCAGCTTTTTAGGCTGCTAGATAAGGATTGTAGCAGTATAATACCACAGCAGCGTAATTTTCCTTTGGGATTTACAGCCCTCTGGTATGTTTGCTAGTTTTCACATCTATTCCTGAAAGGGCCAAAAAAATTGTACTTTTCTGGAGTTAGTTAAAATACATTTTTTTCCCATGTTCCTCAGTCTCTGCCTTTTTCCCTCCCAAGGAAAATCAAAATACTCCTGTACATGAAAGCCAGATAACTTCAGGAAGATGTAAACTACAAAGGAAGAGGAACAATGGAGAGCCTTAGGAGACTGCAGTGTATTCATATTTATTTCTACAGAAATAAAAAGTGCTACGGGAATGGAAATTACACGTGTCATTGTCTAAAAATTAAAAGAAAATAACTAGGGACAAATTCCATGCACCAATGGTGGCTGAAATTATAAAAACTGTCCAACAAAACATGTTTGTGAGCTCTATGGATTTTCCCCTATAACATGTGCTTCTCTCTCCTAGTGTCAACCTTCTGCTGGGGTAATTACTACCAGCAGAATGAGGGATTCTCTCTTGCCAGGACAAAACACTGCTACAGCGACAGGGTCGGTGTTTTATTTTTTTTCCTTGAACAGCGACGTGTATTTTGCATGCTATCAATATTCCGTTACCTGGCTTGCTGGCTGTTTCTCTGAAGAGGCAGGTAGCTGCATTTGACTCTGGGGGGGCTGGGGTTGCACGTAGATTTTTTGTGTCGTTGGTGCCTGTTGCAGTTTGGGCAGCTGCTGCGTGGTTTTTACTGCAAGCACCTGTACTACAGTTTGCTGTGGCTGTGCCACTAAGGTAGGGAGTTGCCTTTCTTTGGCCATCATATGATGTGGGGGGTGCTGTGCATCTGGTTTGGTCTGTGCTTGCTCTTGCTGCAGGGGGGTTAGCTTTTGATGCCTTATGGAAAGTTGGGGCATTTGTGGGAGTTTGTGCTGGATTTGATCAGCCTGCAGGTGGATTGTCTGCTTCTGCTTAGTCTGGAAACACTGCAGAGTTTTCACTTGCAGTTGAGTCTGTTCCAGCTGCGGCTGACTCAGTTTCTGCTGCTTTTGTGCCTGCGATTGCGTCAGGGCAGATCTGTAAAACAGGCCAGTCTGAGGATCTAAGGTGTCCATCTCTTCCACTTCTCCCTCCTCAGTTCCAAGTTGTTCACTGTGTTTGGTAAACGCAGTGTGACTGCTTAAGGCCTTAAGAAGAAGAAGAATTTAGAGCAAGTTAGTAAAGAGAAATATAAGAATACACAATCTAGAAACATTTTTTAATGTTTCAAATTGACTACTTTAACTTTTTTTACCATTCCAGACACCCAATGCATGTACAAAAAGATACTCATGCATTTCACAATATATAAGCAATCAAGATCTATTATTATGATGTTAAACTGTAGTACATCTCTATGTGAGAATATGAGCTTCACAACTAACCCTCCAAGGGATTATGTAGATCTCACTTGTGTCAGACTGAGGCTCAAAGCCCCCTCAGGTTGCCTGGCAGTTGGATATGAAGCAGTAGAGAGTAGCAGGTGGCTGAGCCAGGAGCTCCTCATTCAAGCCAGAGTCTCTCTGCACAATATTTTTTTTATTCTGCCTCTAGAAAGCCTAATCATCTTCTCTAGGGTTCCTTCTATAGGGCCCCATTTAACTACAGGCTGTCCTATTATAGCACAGATCCTCTCTTCTTCTTCCTTTCCCAAAATTGCATTGCAGTTTTTCTTGGGCATTACATAAACATTTGACTTCTTGAGGGAACGAGCAACCTATGCTTTGTAAACCAAAATGTATACATGCACTGAAAAATGGTGTTAGCAAGATCAAACAGCCTAATACACCTGTAAAAACATACTGCCTGACATGAGTTTGTAACTCTAATGCAGTACTGTTCTGGGCTGCAGCTGAAGTTCCCACAAGTTAAAGCACTGCAGAGTTGAGCAGGTCCTGATCAAAGTCATTCAAGTGGCTTCAGCAAGACTTCACCACAAGCTGCACTTCTTGTTTGAATAGTTTGGAATCCCCACAGTCCTGATCTAAATATGATCTGAGTTTTTGATTCAGAGACGGTTTCCTATTCACAAACTAAAGACATCAAATGAAAAAGATACCGTGCGCTCTGTGTACTGACCAGATTCCATTTCACCCCTCTTCCCCCTACACTACCACCAATATAACCTAATGAGGTCAGGACACTGCAATACTACAACCACCCTCACCATCAAAACACAGTCACAGAATGGTTTGGCTTGGAAAAGACCTTAATGACCATCTAGTCCAACCCCCCTGCCATGGGCAGGGACACGTTCCACTAGACCAGGTTGCTCCAAGTCCTGTCCAACTTGGCCCTGAACACTTCCAGGGATGTGGCATCCACAACCTCCCTAAGCAGTCCATACCAGTGCCTCACTACCCCTACAGTAAAGAATTTATTTCTAATATTTAATCTAAACCTCCTCTCCTTTGGCTATTGAAGTGATATTAAAATCATTTATTTGCCTGTATGCTGAACATTTTTGGTGGCAGCACCATGATACATACATTCAGAATAAGCCCTGCTCCTATGTAATTTAAATGACCTACTGCTGTTTATAGACTTCTGGGAAAAGAAAGGATCCAACCTGCTGCATGATATGGGTAATGGCGCCAGTGGAGGATGCAGGAATAGATTTCACCACAACAGAAGTCTGCGTTGCTGTCTGTGACTGAGCCACGTGCTGCACCAGAGTCCTCTGGGGCTGAGATGACTGGTGGGGCTGGGACCGATGACTGACTGAAAGTAAAGAGGTCAGTGGCACTTCTCCAGAACTAACTGCAGGAACTTCAACTGTTTGTTTTGCAGTTAAGCTTCAACTGAAAGCATACATGAGTGAAAAAGATCTAAGCATGGAAAATGTCTTTCACTGTGTGCTAGTGTCAACCTTAATGAAGTATTCTGAAAAACCTCTTAAAGAAGCAACTCTGAGGTTTTGCTTTTGTCTGTTTCCTAAGTAACCACACGTGGTCCAAACCTCCTCTGGCCACCCTTTCCCAATACACCAATTTTGCAAGCAGAGTTTATACTTGATGTTCACCTGGGTTCTTCATACAGCACTAGAATATTGCTGTAGAACACAAGTTATTATGTGGTTTTTACACTGTTAAAAGCATGTCCACAATTGACTGCAATTAAGAACAGTAAACCTTGGTCACCAGGTTTCTACCACTGATAAACTGCACACAATACTCCTCAGAGCATAAGCTAAATTTGAAAGATTAGCAAGATTAGATTAGCAAAATAAGACAAATTAGAAAATGTTTGAGTATTATTAAAGCAAGTGAGGCTGATCAGAAATTATAGATCAAAAAATGTAGACCTTGTTATGGGTCTATGTCACTTTTGAGAACAGATCTAGCTTGAGTTACAGTTATAGTGATAGTCCTGTAATTAAACAGTGGATTGATAGAAAAATAATGTGCTACTAAGAAAAAAAAAGTTTCTATATTCCAGTCACTGGTAAGATATGAATACAAATCTCTTTATGTCTGTCCATACAAACATGCAAATATTTGTGTAACCTAATTTCTTAGTTACTAAGTATTTAATCACCGAAGGAGAAAAAGCAAAGTTTAAATTCAGTTGTAACAAAACTTAAAATTAAAAAGTTTCTAGTGACCTTCCTGAGAGGTCTTCTTTCTTTTTTAAAGAAAGGTCAGATCTTTAATTGATATGGTAATTTTACTTTCTCACTCCAAGAAAGTTAGTTTACATCAATACTGGCCTGCATGCTGTGCCAGATTTATCCTGGATATCTCCCAACAATTCCTATACAATTGAAAACTTAATTGAAAAATAAAGTTTCTAACCTATATGGTTGTGTAGATATTCTTCCGAATGTGACCCAATACAGTGCTGTCTTCCTGAGTCTGCAGACAGACAAAAAACGGTGACACTAAGATGTGTGAATTGCTCCCTTCATCTCATGAGGAAGCACACTCTGAATCCCAGCTCCCAAGTATCTAATCATTTGGTCCAGGCGCATGCAGGACATTTCACAACAGACTATAGATTCTTTACTATCTTCCTGCTGAATTTTTAGCAGAAAATATAGTTATGTGGGTTGCTGATAAATTCAGAGAAGCATGAATCAAACCAAAAAGAAACTCAGTTACTTGCATTCCTTGGCAATGTTCAGAGAAACTGGGAGAAGGGACAAAAATCTAAGTGCAAAATAACCAGTTTAGTGCTGCAGCAGAACCTGCTGCTGCCAACCACAGGAGTCTGCACTTTTCTGGAAGATTCCCACATTTCAAATCAATGTTTACAGAAATCCTAATATTTAAAATAGTATCTCCATATCTCCAGGAAAATTTTAGCCATTGTACTTTGAATGGTTTCTAAGCTACAGAAAAGAACTGAAGTCTACAAAGACACTGACTGTAATTTTCCATCCTCCCTGCAAAAGGCCCTCTTGTACATCGACTTGCACAGCAAGACCCATCAAAAACTAGAACCTTGAAGAGAAGCTCAATGCACAATATCTCGTGTCAGTGAAGATATTTGACTGCTAATTCAAAAGCACTTTAACACCATTTATTGTACTTTGGAGTTTGTTCTAAAAGAGATCCAAGGGAGCACGATTCAAATATTTTAAATTGAAGCCAGATACAGTAAGTGCTATTTAAAAGAAAAATAATAACATCCCCCCAGCCCAAATTTTACACAACTTAAATTCAGGTCATTCAAGGAATGGGAGCAAAGGGAGGAGGTACAGAACAAAATGAAAATATCAGATTAGACATTTAGCACATCATGGAGCTACAGATATGTGGTAATACAGTTTAATACAATTAAGTTTTATTTCTCTTTTCCAGTGTAGACTTTCAACGTGTTTTTGCTTTCATTTTCCAAATAATATAGAGACCAACAATATGGGTTTAAGAAATTAAAATGGAAAACAGGTGATGTGATCCTTTCATGTCTCTGTGGGAAGTGGCCCATACCTAGTGTTCTGGGGTAGTAGGGAACATCAGAGAGACAAGAGAAAGGAGTTACACAAAATGGATGTCCAAATAGGAGTAAAGAATTTAAAGAGATGAATTTGAGTAACTTATACATTTTAGAAAGGCATATTTATTAGTTCAAGGCTTTCTATAAAATGAAGAAACTGGGGCTACATTACCGTGCTAAATGCACACCTGGCTTTACTCAGGACTAAATGGATTTTAACAAAATTCCATGTCTGACTTCTTTCAGTATGTACAAAAACTAGGCTAGAGTTCCTCCAGCTTCGTTTTCTACTTTCTTTTACTAGACATTTTCCTTTAAGGGTGGTGGGACAGTCTGTCTTCGACATCCAGGGAATGGAACATCTCTTCAATCTACTATCCTGAAGCAACCACTCTGTTTCAGTTAGAAACATTTTCCCTTATAGCCCAGCAAGGCAGATGCAATCTCTGTCCCCTGCATAGGGTCTCAGAAGTGGAAGAAAAACTTCATTTCCTCTACAGAAAATTACAGCAAAAACACAAAAGTAAAACCTATTGTAAGAAAACTGCAAAATTAAGTCCTCAGACTTCAACTGCAAAGCCACCCTCACACTAACCTTAGACACTTACCAGTTGTGATATATTCAGCCACTAGTTCTGACTCTACAACAGCAATTGAAGGACTTTCTGGAGAATGCCTCTTTTCTTGAGTCATCTGGATTGGAACAGCCATTTGGCTCAAGTCAATGGTAGGCTGCCTTGGCTTTGATTCCAACTTTTCCTTCACTACTTTAGAAGAAAGACAAAGCATAAAATCAACCTCTGATATATAAACATTCATAATGAAATAAATCTACAATATAGATGTACCAGTTTAATTAAATATAGTGAACATTGTAGATGCAAACAAACTGATACAGGATGAAAAAGACGAATCAAGTTGATTCAAGGTAAGTGCTTTTCAACTACAAAACTTATTACAAAAGCCCGCTTAAACAAAAAATAACCTCTGAAGTTATCCTAAACAATCTCACGGGTTTTCAGACCTGTTGTCTGCTGAAGTTCCAGCAAAGCTTTTATTGTGGAAGTAGCTGACTGAGATTCGCTGGATACGTCCTGGTAAATTATTGTAGGGTTTGTGTCCACAGGAATTTCATGTTCTGACCAATCTTGACTTCTTGAAGCAATCACATGGACTACAGGCTGAGAATCTGTTTGCAAAAAACCAAAGGCACATAATAAAATCATGGAATGGTTTGGGTTGGAAGAAACTTGAAAGCTCATCTCATTCCAACCCCCTGCCAAGGGCAGGGACACCTTTCACTAGGCCAGGTTACTCCAAGCTGTGTCGGACCTGGCCTTGGACACTTCCAGGGATGAGGCAGCCACAGCTTCTCTGGGCAACCTGTGCCAGTTCAAGTCATCATACAACCATTTCGGTTGGAGGGCTCTCATCCCCAACTTCTTGCTTTAAACCAGAGTGATAATTCAAAATTATACCAAATTACTCATTACTTTTTAGTTTTGAACATTGCCAAGGCTGCTTATCTCATTCTGCAACACTTTAGTTTCTATTTCAATTGATTCTTGAAGTAAAACACTGTTGATGTTATGAACAGTTTCCAGCAAAAAAACAGAAGTTCTGTATCTTAGTTTTTTGTAAAAGATTTTGTTTGAAAAATCAAGCAGATTTCTTTGTATGTTGAATTTGCCTTGGATTGAACTTTTTTTCCAGAAGGTTTTAGCAGTTCAGGTGGTCAGCATGTATTCAGCATTCTAAACTAACAGCACCTAAATTTTGGTAAGTTGGTTGAATATTAAGAACTTTTTAAAAACTTACTTAGATGGCCATATAGACCAATAGTTACAGAATTATATAGAAAAGTACACAGGTTTCACTGAGGAACTTGCTTTAATTTGCTGTACGGATAAGTATCATGGTCACTCCTGAATAGAGGTTGGATTTTGTTTATGTCATATTATTTACTGCTCCTCTTAAACACAAAGATCTGGATCTATATCATGGCTTGAAGCCAGGGCACGATTCCCATCAGGACTGCATGTCTGATATATGTCCTGATTCATGTACACATCTATAACAGGACCAAGATTTGTGCTGTCCCATGGCAGCATTCAGACAAGCAGCAGAGAGATGCTTTGATGCAATCTGGAAAGACAGTGGCAGAGCACGGCCTGCCGAAATAACCTCCATAACTTGCTACCCTGCCTACATCTGGCAGACTCTCCAGGAAGAGGGAACAGGTTGTAACAGCAAATTGGAGCCCACCAAGACACATTTATCATCACTTTTCAGGATTAATGAAAGCATACAGTAAGTAGCTCAAAAGAAAGAAAAATATAAAAGTACGGGAACAACAGTGCTTCACTGCAAACAGATGGGGTGAAACCTGTGCAAAAAGGAGACACAGAGCTCTCTGGAGCAAGCTGGCATGCTTGGAAGACAGTCCACTCATACATTATGTGACACCAACACAGACCTTGAGAGCTCTGGGAAGACTCTGTAGAAGAAGAACTACTGTCAGTGTAGGTTTGTGGTTCTTCTTTCACTTCTGGGAGAGATGAGTTTCCTGTCTCTGCTACCCTTGAAGCCTGCTGTAACGTTTCAGTCACCAGCTGTCTGGTTTGTTCACTCACAACTGTTGCTTGAAATGCCACTGGCTTTGGTTTTATGAGGACCTAATTGGAAAGGTAAATTTTGTTTATAATAAAAACACTCAAGAAAACAGATATGAGCAATCAGAGTACAGGGTGCCACTCAGATCTATGTACACCACCTACATAATATTAATATTTTACTTAGAAAGTCTACCTCTAAATTCAGCAACTTTGATTATTAAACTGTAAAGTTCAAGTAAATGGCAATGCACAAGAATGTACTTTTTCACTCAGTAATCTGAAGTGTTTAACACAATAAACCACTAAACAGTTATTTTTCAGGACTAGATAAAACTAGTGTGATAAGAGAAAGCTATGCAAGTGAGCTGGAACATGCACTGCACTGATAAGGACAAGCACTTCCACAATAAATACAGTCTTGAACAACCAAAACACACAAAATGTTACATCTCATAAAAACTTAGTTCTTTCAAATACTAAGTGCAGCGAGAGAAAAAGCTGAAACTGAAAGCAACCAGAAATAAGCCAGATTCTCTGTATATAGCCCCACCAACTACACAAGGTGGCAGGGACAGCCAGAACAGGTATTAAGCAGAAAATAAACTTTTATAACACCTCAGATTTGATGAATGACCTATGTCCAGATTCTGCATCTTTATTTCTAATGGTCTAACCATCAGCTGTAAAATGTAAACAAGTATCTGGAGCCAGGGCCAGACAGTTTCAGCTCCAGAAAAGGCTTAGTAAATCCTTTTGGCTTGCTCTAGGCCTTCAGAAAAAGCTAACAAATGCAGATACTGTGCTTGAGAAATCAGGATTGAGGCCACCTCATTACTCCACTAAGTCTCATTCCCCACAGATATATATTAAACCTGGAACAAATGAGGAAACACATTGAAAAATTATTTATTTCCCATTAAAATTTAGGGGTACATTCCAAGACAGAAAGGGGTCCTCACTGTACCTGTGTTTTCCCTTGTTGACCATAAACAATTTTAGTTGGGATGATTTTGGTGGCTGGCTGGACCGTGGACCCTATTCCTTTTGGCTGTGTAACAATCATTTTTGTGATGGGTCTTGTGGCAGTTATGATAGCAGGTTTTGCTCCTGCTGGCACTGCCTGAATAGTTTTCTCCCCCTGTAGAGAAGTCAAAGTTTACAGATTAACTTAATGGAATTGTTCAGTGAGACCCAATTTTCCAAAAAACAAAAATACAGTTATATGTGAGTGTGTGTACTGTGAAATAAATCTGCTGCTACAACTACATTTATTTGATGGAAAATACATTAGATGACCAAGAACGAAAAAACCTACAGTTTTGAATGGAAAAAGCTACCAAAATCCACTTTTCCATTACCTTATCTTTCAAGCAGCTCAGAAGGGGTGAATAAAAAGAAGTAACTAAAAGACATGAAGTTTTTAAAATTGGATCTTTCTTCAAATCCTTCACAAATGTTTTTTAAGACCACCAATTTCTGTTAACACTAACTTTTGGCAAGACATCTACAAAACCCAAGCTGAGATTCTGAAAAAATAATTTAAATATAGATTTTTGCCTTGTCTTCAGGACCGAGACATTAATTATGTACTTTTTTCAATTAAAAGTTCATTTCATCCAAAAATCCAGATTTACAGCAGTTTCACAGGAATCATTCAACTACAGAATAGTGTTTACATATGACTAGACTCCTGAAAGCTTAAGAAGAGCAAATACATTGAGCATGCTTTTTTTTTAAGCTCTGCACAGTAACAAACCAAGTGAGTAACACAGTAATAGCCACTTCCTACCAATATCAATGAAATAGCTGGAAATCCCCCAAACCATACTTGTTTCAAAAATACCATCCCATTTTGGTAGCTACTAGTGTGTAACATCATAATATTTCCACTTGTCTGCAAATACTTTAATTCTAAAACTAGGGAAGTTCAAAACTTAAAAAAAAAAATCATAAAAGATTTTAAAAAAAACTTTCAGCAGTTCTGCTACTCAAGCAGCCTTTTAAATTTTACGGGAATAAGGCATTAAATCTCACAGTTTTATCTAGGAACACTGATAATTTTTATTTACTAGTACTTACAGATAAGCTCAGTTGATGCCAGAAACTTGATTTTATTCTTAGGTATACGTCAGGTTATCCAAAAAATAATTCACCACTGTGCAGTACCCAGGGCACAGGATGCCACAATGTTACACACCACATTAACTGAAAGTGGTTCCCCTACAGTGAAGACAGTTTATTTCTGCCCTTTATACCAAAACAAAAAATGGCTGGAGATGCACCATTATCAATATGTTATCAATACAGGACCCCAGTTCTCACTGAGCAAACAGGCTAACTTCTAGAAATTTTCATCTACTTTACTGCTCCAGGAATACAAAATCATTATCCATTTAAAAAAAGTTCTAAAGTTTATATTTTCCTTTATCTTTGAAAACATCCCCAGTTTGCTTTCAGCATATTCTGCAAACCACAGTCAGTTTTTAAAGATCCCTGACATCAAGGCATGCTGGATTTGTTAAGGAGCTCATGCACAGTTTGCTTTTAATTGAGCCTTTAGCAGAATGGAGGACAAGCAGCAGCCACCACACAGCTTGTCACCAGGCTCTTAATTTGAGACTTGAAACAATTACTTACCCCAGCATTCAACAGTGTTGTGACAACATTTTTGCCAGGAAGCCCTTGAATTGTCGTTCCTTTTCCAGTAGTTTTTTGCACAACAATCACATTGGGTTTTGATGTCATTGGAATTGTAGTGATTTTGGTCGTAGTTCCTAAATTTTTGTGGGGAAAAAAAAAAGTGCAGTTTACCACATTTTGTATATTTCCTTTCACCACAGAAGTTGGTGAGCTATAGAGGAACCATTGTATTTAAATCTGACACAAGCACATCAAGAAACCAGCAGCATCTGGAATGCGAATTCATGTCACCCAACTCAACAAGGAAAGATTACACACCAATTCAACAAATCTTTCACCTACAGTAAAAACAGCTGTGCCCAGGGGGAACATAATGTATTCTACATTAGGGCAGGCAACCCCTTCTCACAAGTTACAGAGCAGACTAACACAGCTTTCTCAGGCAAACATGTAGAACTTTTCAAAGGCTGGACTTAGGGTGGGATAAGGACATCATTAATACTGATTCAAGGTCCTATTTGCACAGACAAATACTCTTCTACAGATGACCTCTGCAGAAGAATCGATGTACCAAGGATGTATCTCCAGTCAAGAGAAACACCACCTCTTCCTGTTGTAATGTAAGTGATCAGTAGTGGATTGAAAGGAAAAAAGAAAAATACACTATTGTTTCACAACAAGTCCATAAAAGCTAAGTTTAGAAGTGTGTTGGTTTTGCGTTTTTTGTTGGTTTGTGTTTCTTTTTTCTTTTGTGATTTTTTTGGGGGGGCTTTTTTTCTTTTTTGGTTAATTGTTTTGGAGGTTTTTTTGTCTTGTTTTGGTTTTTTGTGTGTTTTTGTTTGTTTGCTTGATTTTTGAAGAGCTGACCTGGCTATTTCTGTTCCTATGTTAGTATTTAATTAGTTCCATTCCCTTTATCAGGTTTTTAGTTACCTGCACTGACAGGCAATTCTGGTTAGCCTTCCACAGTCTACAAAAGTACATACACTGGAATCAGCCATCAGTGCTATCAAACTGCCATTGCAAGTAGCTACTCAGACAGCTTTTTATCAACAATTTCTCCTTTCTCCAGAGGAAAGCACCGTTCAGTCACAACAGAGCTGCAAACCCAAGGATTCCCTTTACTACCTTCTACTCATTAGTCATGCCTGTAGATTCTTCACAACCTATTTCAGATTAACAATTCTACCAATTCTGGAAAAGGGAAGACGTGCTGAGACAAGATTATGATTTATTTAATCCTACTGACTTCAGAGGCATCTAAAGACTGCTCCCTTAGCAAAAACAATTAAGCAAACAAAAAGAAAAAAGCAGGCATGATTTCCAAATTTGTGTTCTTGCAGGACAATCATTATTATCCTCATCAAGATCACTCACAGGTTTCCCCACATAAGCTGCTGCTCAGGAGAATACTTCCACTTGTGTATAATTCATTACAAGACTTAGAGATTGTCTTAGCAATTCACAACACCCACAACAGGCTAAAAAAAGTTCCTTGTTGCCAAAGAAGATGCTGTATCATCACTAAGTATAATTCTGTGGAAATCAAAACCTGTAAAACTGTTCTACCAGATTACAGCCCAAGCGTGTGTTTACTGGATAGCCTGTGCAGCACCTTGCAGTGACTGGAGCTGGCTGGTGCCATGTCGAGTCCTTGCTAAACAAAGCTGAAGTCCTAAACATATACAAGAAATTGTCACTACTATTAGTGTGCTTGGTCCTGGTCCCAAAGAAACCCTATCTTCAGAGATGATAGAACCACCCAATGTTTTGGGTTGGAATGTGCCTAGAAGGTCATCCACTTCCACTCCTGTCAAGGACAGGGACATCTTCCACTACACCAGTGCTCCAGGCCCCATCCAACCTGGCCTTGAACACTTCCAGGGTTGGGGCAGCCACAGCTTCCATGGGTAACATGTAGCAGCACATAACCAGCAAGGAGACCAATGGCTAATCAGCAGACTAACAAAGATAACCAGCATGGTCTGCATAAAGCTGGGAGGGAAAGCTTAAGGCAGAACATGGTCTAAAGGAAAGACAGGCTGCCACTGGTAAAATATCAAAATAAGGTGGAGACTGCATAGCTGAATTTAACACACACAGTCCTTTTTTATTCTGGTTCTTTAGATATGCAGTGGAACAGAGAAGGGCAGCACTGAGATTATAAAATGTTTTGAATTTGGGCCAACAGTGTTTTCTGATCTTTCTGTCCTCTGTACAACATACTAGTCCCCACCCCACATTTCTCCTTCCTCCCAGTTTTCCTTTACATTTGCTGTTTCCTTCTGAAACACAAGAACTACCACAATCCTTAAGAACACTCTACCTTCAAACTTCTACTTATAATCTTCTTCTTCATGCTCAGCTATTTTCCTTCTGAATTCTCCAATAAAGGTTCTAATAACTATTCGAGCATGTAACCCACAGAAAAGCCATGCACAATTAAAGCAAGCCCAAAGTTACTTTTGAAATAAAAGTCTTACCAGTAACAACAGTACTGATATGCCTACCAGAAACAATATTACTGCTGATGATCTTTCCTCCTAGAGTAGCCAGTGATTTTGGTACTACGGTAATGATGCTACCACTTGTAGTTTTCACATAAGTAGCAGCCCCTGGAGTTCCAGCCATCCGAGCTCCCAGAGAGGGGCTCACCGTTGGCCGTGTATATGTTGCTTGAGTTCCTGTTTTAAAGAGAGAGAAAAAGTTCACTGTTACAACACAATCCTCTACCAATATTTGTGGAAAAATATGTTAGTTTAGGAGAAAAGTGTCAGATTTATTCAAAGATATCCCATCCTGCAATCTATTACCACCCTTTAAAATTCTTCTAGTAATTTTTGAATTCACAGAGCAACATTCAAGTATATACTAAATTTAAATTGAATATAACAGTCTTCTGAGTATTTTAACAGATGTTCCATGACTGCCTTATTTTAATTCATGTCCTTGCATGTAAGACTGTAATTTTCAGTAGTTGCAGATTCTCCCTGTAGTTTTGCCTCTTGCTCCCTTAGATGCCCAGGAGTCAGGCATCTGATGACACTACCAGAACTCATCCCTTCCTCTCAAGAATGACACTTGTCCTATATGACAGATTGCTTACAAAGAGAACCACCAATGATTAGTTTAAGTAACACCCTTAGAAAAAAATATGATTTACAACGATAATGCTATTTTATGGACTCAGCATACAGCAGCACAAAAGAAACCTCTCAACATAGTATAAAAGCTGGTTTTCAGAACTAGTCCTTTTCTGAATGCAAAGACAACTGAGTCCACAAAAGCAAAAATAGCAACAGCTACACAAACACTGGAATTCCATTTTGCTTGTAATGCTGCAGATAGTGCCCTTGATTGCTAAATATCAGAGGAATGCAGTTTGTTTCATCAAGAAAGATGTGTTCACATCCAAGAGAGCACAGTACAGACTTTACCAACTAAATTAACTGCAAAATACTTATTTTTTTTAATGCACTCAAAAATGTATGTGTGGAGTACTTTAAAAGTTATAAACAGAGTTTTAATCATTAGTTTATGCTAAGGACATGAGGAGATGGCCTCAAGTTGCACCAGGAGAGATTCAAGTAGGATATTATGGAAAGAATTGCTCATGGGAAGGGTGGTCAGACATTGGAACAAGTTGCCCAGGGAAGTGGTGGAATCAACATCCCTGAAAGCATTCAAAAGCCATGTAGATGTGGCACCTGGGACAAAGTTTTTGGTGGTGAACATACTGGTGCTGGGTTAATGGTCAGACCAGATGATCTTAGAGGGCTTTTCCAATCATAAGGATTTTATGGTTCCAACACTCCCAGCCCATGCTAAAAAAAAATATGGAAATAAAGAGTTTTCTGAAAACCAGGATAAAGCTACCTTTTAAGTTTTCCTCATGCAAGTTTACAATCAGAACAGGCTCCATTATTATCTATTAGAAACACAAATACAACCAGATGCTCAGAAAAACACTGGGAGCTTAAATTTTAATTTACTGGTCTTTTTATAAATTCACTGCAGGACTATGAGCAAGTCACATGTCTTTTAAAGTCCATCTATGCAAAACAGGAATGGTGCTGACCTGTCTGCTTGAGTTAAACCAGTATAAATCATGCAATATAAGGTACTACAGAAGTGCAAAGTATCCGTATAGACTGCATAAAAACTTCCTTTAAAATAAACCCGGTGGGGAAGGAACAATGGTATTTTTGTGTACCAATTCAAACAGTGGAATAAAAGAGCACTCAGTGGAAAAATCCTGATCTGGAATAAATAAGAACAGGACTGTGAATGTGGTGTTGTGCCCACTGCTCAGAAGAGGTAAGTGCCTTTTTTTTAACCCTAGGAAACCATGCTTGATCACCTGTATGTCTGGATTTACCCTCCCTTCCCTTCTCAGAGCCATAACTTACCAGTGGGAGTAGTGACCAGTTTAGTTGTCATGATAGTCCCATTACTGCTAACCACCATAATGGGTGAATTGCTACTGCTGGGCAAGGTCGCTGTAACTGGTTTGGGAAGGATTTTACTGGGCTGCACCTGTTGAGTGATTATTTTAACACCTAGGAAAGGAGAAAGGTCACTGTTAAAATACAGGCACGATAAGTTACTTTCTGAAATGCTTTCTCAGACCAAGGCCTAGTGGGCAAGTAGCCCTAGAAGGCTTCAATTCTGAGCCCATATATCTTGATAATAGAAAAAATTATTTAATTTTTTAGGGTTTTTTTTCTTAGTTTTGGTTGGGTTTTGTTTGTTTTGCAATACCAAGAAGTCATGTACTTTGCCTTTCATGTGCCTGTTTCAGTTCCTACTTCCACTGTCCATTCCATCACTGATTTGTTGACGTTATTTTTTATTTTTCCTGGTCTATGATACAAAAAACCAGAACTTTCCCAGGAGCCAACAGGTTAAAACCAAGACTGAATAGGTTCATATACAACGAACCATCTACAAGCAGTAATTTTTCATCAATTCAGTCTATAAATCCTAATGTGTCATAAGCCTAGACAAACTTTACCATCCTGAATTAAAAAACATTTCTGCACAAGGAGCATTAGTGACTACAAGGAAGCAACTGTGACACTGGCTAGGGAAGGTTACTTTAAGTAAACTGCTCTCTTTCCCCTTGATTTACTGGTTATCTTAAAGCCACAAAGAAATTTGGCTTAAGTTACGAGTAGATCAGTAAGAATGAACGATGAGGGCACCTTAGTACCTCCAGGATTCTCCTCCCTCTCTCTTAATTTTATGTTGGGGCATGGTACCTCTGTGAGATTCACTTCTCAGTTGCAAACCAGTGCATTCACATCTGTTCAAAAGTACATCCAGGAGATGTGCATCTTATGATCTGTTCCATGATGAGGTAAATGCATTGCATTGTGGTGGCCAAATGCCATGGAACATACAGCCTGAATGAATCTCATCTAGATGAAGCACTTATGTTTGTACACAAGTATTCCTAGGTGAAAAGTCTTGTTCACTTGAGATGTGGAACATCCTTCAGAGATGGCTTCTTTCTCTACACTGACTGTAAAAGCAGTACAGAGCAAGTAAGCTCCAAACTGAAAGAGAAATTGAAGTCTCTGCATCATCCAAAACCAAAACACAAAACTGAATAAAGTTTCCATGAAAACTGGTTCACATCTTCCAGAAAGAATTGGTATCAGATGGTATTTCCAAAGAAACTTTTAACTAAGAAGCACAATGAGCCCACATTCGTTGCAGAAGTTGAGGAAATGAAGCTCACATTGACATTGTTCAGTGGCTGGAAGCCTTTTTTATGTCTTAATTAGTAGCTATTCTTTTTCTTAAGCAGCGGTCCTATAACCCAAAAGGTAGTTTTATCAAAGCACAGGAGTAGGCAATTTTATCAAAGGACAGGAGTAGGGCTGGGTTTTTTTTCATTCCATGGTCTATTTTAATTCTTTGATCTAAATAGTATGATATAAAATAAGAATTTTACTGACAGGATTAAAATAAAATACTGATTTTATATTAATATACATAAAAATACTTTGCACTTTTATAGCACTTATTTGAGAACTGGTTAAATTTGCAAACTTTATTTCTTACTACTTCTTGCTGAGAAAAAAACTATGTGCTACAGCAGAGAAAAACCAAGAAAGAAAGATAACATGACTTGCCCAAAGTCAGCTGAATGAATCAATATCACAAAAATAATCCAGTCTAACTTCCAGATCTAAATGTATTTGTTTTGACAAGTACCTCTCAAAAGTACGTCTTGATTTCTGGACCAAAGAAAATAATTAAAACATGGAGTAACTTCTTTTTCCAGGTGATATAGTTGAACTCTTGGATCTTCAGAAAACTGGTGTGTTTCAGGTTGCCAATCACATTACTTTTGAAGTTATTTACATACCTCTCAACCTCTAAGATAAAAACACATATACCTAAAGCATGGTCTGTAATACCTGAACCAAACAAGAAGAGTGAAAGAACCAAATTCTTTAATTACTCTTACTTGAAAACATTAAAACATCCTTCACTACCTACTTATATTCATGTCTGAAGCCAAATCCTGTACTCAAGAAATCGTGCCTTCATGACCACTCCCCCATAAACGTTTTGGGGCAGAATTCTGCCCTACTTTCCTGAGTTGCAGCAAGACCTCATCAATGTGACCCAAGATCAACTCCAACTACCTGATTCCTGTTTGATCTGAATGGTGGGCTTGATGCCAGCTGGCAGCTGAGATTGCTGTGGCTGCTGCTGGGCTACAGAACACGGCACCAGCTGCTGCTGCTGCGGTTGCTGCTGCTGTTGGGCCTGTTGGACTTGGTGCAGCTGCTGTTTGGGAGACTGCTGATGCTGTTTGGGAAACTGTGCTAAGATCTGAGTTGGATTCCCAACCAAACCTTTTGGGGAAGGTAGTCTGGTAGAGGCAACTTTAACTGCTGATGTAGATACACCTGTGAAAGAGTAAAGGGTTTAAGATTCACCAGTGCAATGAGAAAGAAAAATATTAAAATTTCTAAAATAATCTTGCATTTCAATTATCTTTACTACTGAAAAATACATTGATATATGTGAGGAAATAAAGCTCCCATGTAGCAGAAGTGCTCTGTTAGGAGGCAATGGAGCTCTATACAGATTTTCAATGTGGCAGCAGAACAGCAGCTAATGGAAAGACCACAAACCCAGTCTACTTCTGCACCTTTTGTAATATAAATAATTCAATAATATTTTCAAAGTCTCATCTTTAAGCTTCAAGACAGCAAAATACCTACAGTGAAACAATTTAAAATATAGATATAGATATATTTGTATTTATAAATATTTATGACAACCTAGTTTAGTGGAAGGTGTTTTCACCCCTGGCAGGGGGGCAGGAACTACATCTTTAAGGTCAGGTCCTTTTCAACCCAAAACATTCTGTGGTTCAATGATTCTAAAATCACAATTGCAAGAAGCTGGCGTTGGGAGGATGTCAAATATCAAACCCATCAACATTGGAAGAGAGTATCTGCTAGCAAAAGGTTTGTTTGGCATTTAAAAAAAATCAAGTAATTGTATGTAAATTATAAAACTGTGGGCCACTTGTTTTATGCTGTTAGGTTAGGTGATCTTATAAGCAAAAGTGATTAAAAGAAGTTTGCAGTAAGATGGAAAGACAAAGTTCCCAAATAAATCTTATTACTTATTTCTGTCATTCCCCTACATAGCTGTCACAACATTTACAGTAAAATCTGACTTTGTATATAGTTCTAAACTACACATCCATAAACACCAAAACAAAGTCCATATCTTATGAAGTAATTTTTTAAGTAAATCCCAGTTGCAGTGGAAAACAGAACCAGATAGAAAGTGATAATTACAGAAATCACAGTAAAGGTACAATTCTGGCAATCTAAATAAGCAACCCTTTTCTCACTGCATCATTTAAGGTGACTACACCACTTCCTTGGGCAGCTGTTTTCATTAATGAATTTAACTTTACATTTGAAGATATTACCAGCTCACATCACAAAACTTTTCACCAGCATCTTCTGCAATGCCACTGACAGTCTTGGGAAAAAAACCCGTTGGAGAGATACTCCACCTAATGTACTTTAGAATTAAAGCCTCTCCATGATCAAACTCAACCAAGAATCAACAATTCAAACAACGTGAAAGCCAGCTGTGAGCCCTTCTGCTCCACAGATTAATATCTGATTATATTAATACAAGCAATAAGGAAGGAAAATACCTCCTCAGCCGTGATATGGCAACCCAATGTTTTGTGGAATGGAACGAGAATGGAAAATACAGACCAGGAAAAATTGTGATGTGACACTTGTAATTGTCAGGCAGTTTTTCTTTCAAGTGCTGCTCACTAAGGCCCATTCATTCATTCATTCATTCACAGATTCCCTTTTAAATGCTAGCTGGTGGCTGTGAAGCTGAAACAGTCAAGCTAGCATACACAGTTAGAATTTGAAATCAGAAACCTAAGCATTTTAATCAGACCCACTCAGGTCTTAATTATAAAGGAGTTTAAAACTGGCATGCTGGTAAAAGACACTGATAAAAAGGTGTAAACACTTCTCTACCTTTCAGAATTGTCATCTGGGCATGTTAGTAAGTTTTTGTTACTTGTTAACTTTGCATGGTTTTGCAAATTGAGCTTTTAAAGATGCAATCACCTCCAAATATTGGAAATATACATTTTTCTATGCATCACAAAAGTTCTTGAAGCCAGACATTTTGAGGTTGTATTGTTTTAGAGCTAGGTCACACCACCGCACCACATCCTCTTTACAAAGTGGATCTGAACATTAACTTAATTAACAGAGGAAAACAGTTCAACAAGAACTTTTGTGGAGCCTCTTGGATTAGTTTCATCATCAGGTTTCTTTCACATGTCCTGTGCTTTACCCATATGTAAACAAAAAAGTGCATCTCCCCAATGCTATTCTCAATGCAAAGTACAATTCCTCAATGAAAGAGCTTTTAGAAGAGAATTGCCATACCTTGTGCTACTGTTGACATAACCACTGACGGTGTGGATGACACTACAGCAGTCACAGCAATAGTATTTGCAGTGCAGGAGGGAGTGGAGCAGCTGCTGCTGCTGCCCACAGAGGACTGGGAAGCAGTGATAACCACGGGCTGCTTTTGAGTAGTTGAGGCAATGACTGATGTTGGGACAAGTTTTGTAACTGCTGCATAGTTGTGGGACTTGGAAAGGATGTTGGGTACAAAAGTGGAGCTTGGAGAGGTGGTTACTATTATGACCTAAAAAAAAAAAAAAAAAAAAAAAACAAGAAGAAATTCATTTGTTCCTTGCATCTATATTTCAGTAACATGTCTGTCTATTTAGTTTTAGGGACACATCTTTATTAAGAGCTTTTAAGACTGTCAATCATGTTTGCTCACAAGAAAAAGTTACAACTACTTTGAAGAAATGGTGACAAAAATTTCCTTAAAATTAGGATTTTTAAGGAAAACAATTAATATTGAATAAAGTAAAATTATCTCATGTCTGAAGGCAAACAGGAATGAATTTGAATTCATTAAACTGGGCAGGAAACTTGAAACCCATTTTAAGAGAAACTGAATGCATTTCCAGCAAGTTTTAAGTGTCACTCTTCCAAACCTTGCAAAAATTTCAAGAAACAGCAATGAGAGAAAATAGATTTTTTTTTTCTTTAACAATCAACAAGCACTTGTTCAGTCAGTAATGGGAAATGCTTTTGATCTACAAGGCTGTAAATAATATTTCATCAGTGAAAGAAAAATGCTGGAGGTTTAAAGCAATTTCTGCTTTATTTAGTGCTCTCAATAGCAAGAAATTCTTTCAGATTCGTCTGAAGAGAATAAACACCTCCCCAGTGCAAGTTACAACTACAACTCCATGAATCTGATCTGACACATTAAAACACAGAATTCATGACAGCACTGGAAGAGGTCTGTCTTTGTGCAAGTCACCTAGGAAACTAAACACTTATTAAGTATTGAATATCGGGACTGTTTACATTAAAAAATTCCTTTTATTCAACTTTTATGTCCCTTCTTGTACTTGCATAATTAAAATAAAAAAGAAGCACAAAAATACATTTTCAATTTGTCATGCAAGAATATTGAGAAATTAATAATGCTGTTGTTCCCATAAAAATTTTGTTTATTAAAACCCTGAAAATTTAAGCTTAATAATAATTCAATGTAACAAAAGCCAGTAGAAAAAGACACAAAAGGAGCAAAGAAAACCTGTGTCAGCTCACACAAAGTCTTACATTGCTAGCCAAGCACGACTGAAACCTTGCCTGATAAAGAAATAATATGATAATGGCACCAGAAATAGACTTAAGCAACAGATCAAGCATCAAGAGATCAGAAATTCATAATTTGCTTAAAGAAAAATATGAAAAGAAAAAATAAATAAAAGGGAAATAGCCACAGGGATGGAATAAAAGCAGCAAATTTCACCAACATGGCTGGTTCGGCCTCTCCTTTTGTCCCAGCTCGTAGTTTGATGGTCTCTGCTGCTCAGATAAATCTTTAATATCTTGATCTGAAGAAAATCAAAACCTTCCTAGCCTACAAGCTATAGCAGGATGACCACAACTAACCCATGTCTGAAGGACAAGGTTTCCACATTCTGCTGCTTTTCTACTTGCTTGCATTCTCCAGTGAAAACATTTTCTCTGCATCAGTCTTATTTTTGCATTCTGCCTAATTTTGATTTAATCAAAACACCTTTCTCAAATTGTCCTTAGGCTACAAACATGCAGATGAGCTGAACATGACTCAGCTTGTTCTAGTGTGAGAATTGGAAGTGAAAGTATTCTATGATATGCCTCTGGAGTTTTATCCTGTTTCTTAAACTGTCAGTTTACACAAGGAATACTTCCAACTGTCTGAAGTTGAGGGTCAGCTCCATTCCACCCAGAGAAACTAGTTAGGAACACAGTCAAAGGACAACTTGCAGTTTAAAAAAGCAGATTATAGGTTAGAGTGAATACAAACTATACTACAGCAGGGCAAGTTCAGCATCAAAACTAATACAAATATGCAGAATGAAACTGGGCATAACCACAACTCCTGCAGACAACTGCACTTACTTAAATCCATGATTATCACTTAAAAATACTTTATTTAATCAAGGAAGGAATAAAGTGTGTAAAGCACTACAGTTCAACAGTGACTGTTATACTGTGACTAAGCAGGTTTGTGTCCATTCTATCTCATCTTTCAAAAGTAACAGACCAGAGCAAATTTCAGTATCTTCTGTGTTGTGGTGTTTGCTGTCTGTCTTGAGGGCTTAGTGAAGGTTATTTTCACATGCATGAAGTATATAAAGAAAACATAAAATTCAGGTAAAAATTTAAGTATGAAATTTCAAATCACAACCACTGTATTTCTGAAATACTATTCTGTCATATACGTTGAAATGATCCAAATGATCTCATCATGAGTACCAAAACTGCATCCCATGTTTTACAGCAGAGAAACTGCCTGACTTTAAACATACACACACATAAATCAAGGTGGTAATTTTGTTATTGATGACAGTAAAATCTAATTCCAAACATGTACTGAATTTAGTCCTGTCAGCTCTATCTTGAGAGATGTCAAAACTTAGTCTCTGAAAAAATAATGCTATTATAACTGCCAGAAACTTCACTAGCTAGATTCCTTCCATGTCCTACAAAGCTGACTTTATTACAAGAGAATCCAGAAACTGGAGCAGTGACATTATTAGTTGTTATGACAGATCATCCTCCAATCTACGAAAATGTCAAAACAATTCAAAGAGATGGCATGCAGAAACAAAGAATTTCATTCATATCCAACAACTGACACTCAAATTGGAAATGTCCTGTTGGATATGAATGAACAAGACTGACTTTTAATTTAAAACTACTAAAGCGGATTTCTCCCACCAAAATCATCCAGTTATATATTTTGGCATATCTAAATCCAACAAAAGAGGACACTGTGACAAGTTCAGATACAAATGCTACTCTGGCTGCCTAACAAAACAAGCACCAATTTTCCTGTCACTGCAGATTAGTAAGACAGTCAAATAATAGAATGCAAAGTGAACTCTAAAATTCCCATGTCAGAACAAGTGGAGAGGCATAACTGCAGGAAAGGTCCTATCAACAGTCCACTCTTCTGGAGACTTGGTACACTCCATCTTTAACTTCCATGATATACAATACCCATACTTAATACAACCCTACAGATGTTTAAGGCAAAAAAAAATATTCCTGCACTAATTATAACCCTAATGTGCAACAGGATGGATAGGTTAAGCCCTGTAGTAGCTGTGGACTTGCTGCACTGAATTTAATTTGATGGTTTATGCTCACACATGGATTTCTCTAATACACTCATGTATTCAGAGATGAAATTTGATTAAGGACACTGTTAAAGAACAGTGAATCAAAATGAAAGCATCTTCCCTGGAGTGGGAAGACGTCAGAAAGCCAGTATCTTTATGAACATGACTTCAGTTAATTTAGTTGGTTTTAAAATTTCCAGAAATCAAGACGCGGGAACTCTGCCGATCTGAAAAGTCATAAAGCAATTAAGAAGACTCATAGGACAAATACCATGCAAAGGTTTGAGCTCAATAGTCAAACCCTCACCGCTGGAAAAAAATGCTTGTTAGTGGCCAGCCTAGCATAAATCTGTTGGTATCAAGACGAAATTAATCCCACAGACACCCTATGTCTCCCTGAAGTCTGCTGTACTAAATAACTGTACCAAGAATGAACTTGGTCTGAACCATTCACGTTTTTTAAATCTTAAAAATAGAACAACAGACACAACTGAAATGCCTCCTAAAGAATAGTAATATAGTCACGCCATAGATTAGGCACTTAAAAATCTAAGTCCAGTACAAAATTTAAACAAGGAAAACCTTTTCTGCACTTTGCATTGTGGTGAAAGCTAGGCACACTCAGCTGAAATAATGCAACTGATTTTGACCACTGTAACACTGTTAATGTAGAATAAAAAATGGCACACTTGTACTGAAATGAAAATAAAGCCCCTGGACTTTGACCAGCTCCAAGAATAAGCATTATAGATCCCAAAAAACTAGTCTCTAGATAAAAGGCTTGGCAAGGGAAAGCCCATGCCACCTCTCCTGGAATTGTACTACTGCAAAGAGTAAATTATAAATAAGGAAAATAGAAATAAGAAAGATTACCTTTGACCAACAGTTGTTACCATCTGAAGGCTGTTCAGTGGCCTATGTGATCCAGTTCTCAGTGGACTAGTGTCCATATCACAAAACCCAACACCACAAATGGTACTAACTGGTAACTTTGTTGGCAGTCTCACCAGAGAGGCCAAGAATTGAATGAGCATGGAGACTGAATCCCCTCTCATCCCTAGAAGTGGTCCCTTCAGGTCAGGGTTGAGGCACATTGGTGGGGCAGTCTGGGGGAAGCTTGCACTCCCGCTGCCTGTGCTGTACCTGTTCTGTGGATAAAAAGAGGGCTTCAGTCTCCACGGCTGTCAATCCAGGTCCTTTCACACACAGGTGAACTAAATTCATACAAGAGTTCGGTTTTCCCTTTGCTCGTTTTAAAGAGGGATTACCTTATCCCAAGCGCAATCCTTTAAAAACAGCTAGTCAGAAAGGAAGAGTCAAACATCACGTCTTATTCATTGACAAAACCAGAATAAAGTAACATTTGGCAGCTTCCCCCACATACCTTCTGTGTTGTGGTGTTTGTTGTCTGTGTTGAGGGCTTAGTGAAGGTTATTTTCACAGGCGACATGTGCGGTGGTAAGGAGTTGGCAATGCTCTGCATTATATTACTCATTTTGGGGCTCCCACTTACAGGCACTGTGATAGTTTTAGTGACAGGGGTCACTGCCTTCGGGACTTCTTTCAGGAGAACAGGGGAAGAACTAGAAGAATTTGTTCGCCGTCTTTTGCGGGGCTTTTCATCGTCGTCTGAGCAGCTGACACCTGGAAAAGAAATGCTTTCTCTAAATTATGTTTCCCCTGTCTGCAGATCTCAGTGGTTTCTGAAACACTACATCCTCTTTGAGTCTTACACCCTCTTTCAAGTAAGATAAAAAGAAATAAAGGACAAATTACATCTTATAGTCACAACCAAGCTGTATCACACCTCAGATGCTCTTAGTCCTTGATATGGGCCACACTCAGTGCCATGAATCAGGGACAAATCACCCAAAACCACAAGCTACTCAGTTGCTGGGTTACTCCATTCAGTTTGAGAGATTAAAAGAACCTGAGAGCCAGTACAGGGTTTTCATTCTGTCTACCGAAGTTTGACTAGTGAAGCACACAACGGGATTGGGATCATGCCACACACATTTTAGTTTAAACTTTTACACTACTTCGGGGTTTTTTCGGTGGTGGTTTTGTTTACAGCAATTGGACTATCGAAGTTTATTCCCCTATAGTTTCCTTAGACTTAGCCTTTTCACCTACTTTCATGTCATGTTTACCCTTACAGTACCCTTCTGCCTTTCACCTTAATACAGCATCTTGAGATAAAATATATATAATAAAAAAAAAAAAATTATAACTGTGAAGGTCAATCCTCACTTCATCAGCTTTTGCCTTCTTTGGCACATTTAGTGCAACAGATATAAAATGGCACCTAACACACAATAATGAAAAAGAAAAGAAGTCCAGGCTCAAAAGAGTTCTTTCTTCCTCACAATCATATATTGCACACATAGGAAAAAAAAAAAGTGCTGCAATATTCAGCTCAGGAAAAGACAACAGCATGATTAATGGATTGTAAATCCAAATGGAACTTGCCAAAGCAGGTAACAGATTCATAAATTACAGAAAGGCACAGGTTAATAACTTTGCAAACCTCTCACAGCTACTTGGCAGCATTGAAGGCAGGAAGGCTCTGCAGAAGGATCTGAACAAGCTGGATCCATGGGCTGAGGTTCAACAAGGCCAAGTGCCAGGTCCTGCCCTTGGATCACAACCATCTCATGCAGAGCCACAGGCTGGGGGCAGAGTGCCTTAAGGGTGGCCAGGCAGGAAGGGATGTGGGGATGCTGGCCAATAGCTGTCAGGATATGAGCCAGGTGTGCCAAGGTGGGCAAGGACAGCAGCCTGGCCTGTATCAGCACTGGTGTGGCAGCAGGACCAGGGCAGTGACCATTCCCTGTGCTGGGAACTGCTGAAGTACCTCCAGTCCTGAGGTCACTTCTGGGCACCTCATGACAAGAGACACTGAAGTGCTGGAGCATTTTCAGAAAAGGGAACAGAGCTGCGGAAGGGTCTGGAGCAGCAGGAGCAACTGAGGAAGCTGAGGGGAAGCTGGGAGAAAATAGGGTTATGGGGGGACATTCTTGTTCTCAACAACTCCCTTACAGGAGGGTGTAGGCAGATGGCGGTTGGGCTCTTCTGCCAGGTAACAAGTGAGAGGACAAGAGGAAATAGCATCAAATTGTGCCAGGGAGGTTCAGACTAGGCATTAGGAAAGAAAACCTCACTGGAAGAGTAGTCAGGCATTGGAATAAGTTGCCTAAGGAGACAACAGTCTGGAAGTGTTCAGGAGGAATCTGGATGAGACACTTGGGGATGTAGTTTAGAGGTGACCATGATGGTGCTGGATTGATGGTTGAACTAGATGATCTTGAAGGTCTCTTCCAACCTTGACAAATCTGCAATCCTGTTATTTATGTTACCATGCTAACCTGTGTCAAACCGTTTAAAAAGAAAAACAATCAGACAGAAGCTGAACAGACACCATCCTGCCTATGCAAAAGATGATTGAAAATCTTGTTCCGTGTGGCTGGAGCTTAAAGACAAAGAACACCATCACAGCAAAAAGCAGTCTTGCTGGTAATCAAAGCAAACTCGGTTGGTAGTCAATCTCTAATTAGGGCCAAGATCTAATTATTGCCAATGTCTAATTAAAATTAATATTCTGGCATTCAAAAAGTGAAGATGCAAGAACTAACACGGACAAGAAACTGCCCAGCATCACAACAGGCAATTGCAGAAAAATGGAATTCTCTCTCAGCAGCAGTAGCAGCTCATTTGCAGGTATGCGTGGAAAGGCTGACAACTGTATCTACACAGATAGGAAACCGAACTAGGGAAAAGAAGCAAACTTCAAAAATGTAGCTTTAGTTGGCTGTAGCAGTACAAGTGAAGCATGGATCTATAAAACCAGATTTCAAATCTATATATTCTATCTATTCTCTATCAATCAAAATATTCTAATCAATAATTTACTCTATGCCCCTGAATAAGCCTAGTTGTGACATCCCTCTGTAAAGCAGAGGTTTGATTACATAACTTTAATGTTTATTATGGACAGGCTTCTAAGTATTATTGTGAGTGCACTACAGAAACTTGTAACTATGAGTGCACTAATCATATTGAATGTGTGCAGTCATTTAAAAACCTCAGAATCCATTTGAATCTAAAATCCACATGCAGCTAGCATGTTAGGACACAGCTGTTATTTTGGTGGGGCACCAAGAAATAGAGGAAACTTTATTTATGGTCCTCATCCACAAAAAAACCCATCAACCAATCCATCAAGACATAAGAAAGTAACATTAAACTAACAGAACATTATTTTATGTTAAGTACAGCTCGTTTCCCCTCCTGCTTTCACTGCTGGGGTTTTGCAAGAACCTTATTCTTATCATTTCATGTTAGAAATTGCTGTACAAAGTTTTCCACAGACATTTACTTAAAAGGTAATACAGCTTTGACTGTAACTCACACTTGATAAGTAAGGAAGCAGAGTCATGGAAAGGTTAACGGCTCAATCAGACTGTGACTTGGAAGAGGTTACACCACAGACCAGTGGCAAAGTCCTGACTGTAACTCAGATCTCCCAAATCTGCTCCTAAGCAAGTTGTTAAAATCAATGTGACTGATGTAACATACTCTGAAAGACACACAATTCCTTAAAAAAAAAAATTAATAAAAACAATAACAACAAAACTAAGCACATGGAAGTAGGGAAAAAAAATTAAATGTAGGGATAGATAATGAAGATTATCATCCCTGTATCAGATGTCTAGACTTATTTGATACTCATTATCATGCAGTAATTCAATAAAGTCTACATTAAAAGTTTAAGATGTTAAGAATGTTTTCTCCTGAATCTTCAAACTAAACCCAAGTGATTAGTGCACAGATTAGAAAAATGAAAAACCTCAGTGTAATGGGTTTCATGGGTTGACAGGCATTAACAATGGTTTTTTGCAAGTAACATTATATTTATGTACTAAGTGGCACTTCTGATTAGCTAGAAGCTTACACAGATGTATACATATAGCATGAAGATAATTTTTAATAATTAAATAATTAAGTAATTTTTAAAATATTAAAGGTATACAGAGCAAGCATAAAACCAGCATTTATCTACTTCTAAACAGCATTTATCTACTATTAATATTTACTTGTTGTTTTGATAGAATCAAATAAGAACTGAAAGAAACATTTTAATAGTAAAATAGAACTACCCATGATGAGGGCATATACATGAGAACATAATCTGCTTTTAGAACTAGCTGACTTACTAGTCAAACAAATATGGGGACACATACACCCTCTGAAGAAAAAAGACTGTTTCTAGATTCTATGTCCTGGATTTCCAGATTTAATTACACGAAGATGGGTCTCTGGTAGGAATTCATATGAAGTTTTTGCAGCTACCGAGGAACACAAGCTTCACTAAGACTGACTTCCAGGTAAATCACAAAACGGCCAGACATAGTATGTAAGCATAAACCCCTGACAAACTGCATCCAAAAACAAAGAAGTTATGTGTCACCTGTTAAAGTGGAAAAGAGGAACCTTTTTTAATTCAACTAAGTGACTACTATGCATTCTCAACAAGATGGATCAGAAATTCACTGATGTACAGAAATGTCCATATTTAATTTTCAACATATTTTTCACTTGTTGTCCTTGTAGCTTTAGTGCTCCTTGCAGCATTTTGCAGTGAGTGGATTTATCCTGAACACTATTTATCTGAAAAAGGGAAGGAATAAATTCATTCTCTAGACTAAACAAAGGCACAAAGGTCTTCAATGACTTGCCCAATGTTGGAGTGTTTAATTCGGTCTGTGCTTCAGAACCATGTTCTCCCTTTCTTTCCCTTTTGTTAATCAATTGCTAGTATCACTTACTTTTGACGTAAACAGTACTTCCACTTGGCAAGACGACTACATTGGAGGCTGGACTGGCAGGTCTGGGGGACTTCACTGTTGCTACACTGCCACTTGGAACAGGGGTAGATGTTGGGGTTGAAGTGGTACTTGTGTAGGAATAGCAAACCACCACTGAAGAGGAGAAAAGACACCTTCCATATAACTGAAGTGCAGAATCCCATTATTCTATCACTATTTTTACAACTGAAATGGAAGCCAAAGACTTATTGGGTTTACTATCTGTGGTTTTGCCTCTGCATTCCTGTTACTGTGGAATACTCCCCAGTTCGAGCTAAGCATGGCCATGAGATTAATGGTCTTCAAAGACAACACAAAAATCTAAACTCCTGTCCTCCCATCCCCAAAAATCTGTGCTGCCAATGTGAATTTTTTTTGTATTGATCTTTGTTTTAGTTTATAATTTGTTATTTTTAATTTTAGCATTAATTCAATATGTTGATCTTTTTGCTTTTCTGTAAGTGATCACATCCAGACTTGTAACTGATAGAAAAGTGTTACTGCCTCAACAGTACATCAGTTGAAAAACCTAAAATATTCATTCAGTAGTGAAGAACTGATTGTGCTAATCAGCTTTTTAAACCCCTGCTTTTAAGTAATAACACAGTGATACAGTACTTCTCACAAAACCAGGATAAAACAGCCTGTTTCAAGAAGTGTTACACATTCTCCAGTTGTATGAAGCCTAATTCAAGCCTGCTGAGCCAGGCTAGTTGGAACGTGTACTACCATTATTTAAAAAGCATAGGGAAAGCAGAAAGCAACCTTTTTACTTGTTTTCATAGTACAGTTAATCTGAAGGAAAACCCCAAAGTGGTATTTTCTTGATTTTCACCAAAACCTACTTGCATTCTTAAAATAAAACATTCTGAAACAGCTTTCATCACTTAGAGAACTTTACAAAACCTAGCCATTAGTCCAAGTTTTTCAAGTTTACAGAGCTGAAGCAGTTAATCAGTCAATGTCATTTCCTGACAAACTGGGTTCTTTTTATATTTCAGTTGCTAGAGTGTCAAGAACACAAGGCAGTCAGATTAATGCTGCAGATATCAGAAATATAAAATACCCCTTTTTTAAAAGGTATCTTTAAAAAAAGGGGTATTTTATATTTCTGTGAATAATGTTTGGTAAGAAAGATCTAGATTTTTTTAATAGGTTCACAGAATGGTTTGGGTTGGAAGGAACTTTAAAGCTCACCTAGTTCCAACCCCCTGCCATCAGCAGGGACACCTTCCACTAGACCAAGTTGCTCCAAGTCCCATCCAGCCTGGCCTCAAAAATATATATTTAATATTTAACACTTAAAATCTAAGACACCAGTTTCTATTGTGATGTTGTTTTTACATTCTCATAGACTGCAGGAGAATTCCATCTTTCTCTCACCTTCTTTGTTTCCAGTTTCTGCAGGAACTGGAAGAGATGCATTGTGCTGAATGGCTGCGTTGGCAACAGCGTTGGCAGTAACAGTAAAAGCTGTTTGTGGAACCAGCCGTGGCATCAGCGGCACCAGTCGACGACCTTCTATGGACCACTCAGAAGAGCTGTTTGGTCCAGACATACTAAACAGAAATACATGTTCTGTAAGTATTTTTAGGAGTTTCCAAATACTCAGTATCCTATTTGAGTACATTTTTTTTAATAATGCAAGTCTAAAAGATAGTTTAAGACATACTAGAGCACTAATACTCAACTTTCTTTATTTCATGAAAGCCCTTGTATTTTTTGTCACCTGATATAAAAACCCTCCCATTTTAAATTGAAGAGTTGACTCTGCTTTTGTTGTTTTGTTTTATAGAGCTGTTCAAGGTCCAGAGGTGTGTGAAATCATACTCAAACCCCCCACATTAGGTTAGCTACTATTCAGGTACAGTTGCTGTGCTCTCTACTTCTAGATTACAAAAATACCAAGAAACCAAAAAGAAATCATAAAAGACTGTTGAAATGGATTATGTTACAGAGAAAAACTCTCAGCTTCTAAGGTAAATTTTGTTTTACCTGAACAGAAGAGTTTCTGATGCTTATTAAAGTAGTCTCAAACCAAGGTGACAGAACACGAGATTATTTAAATGCACCCTAAGCATCTTTCTAAACAGAAAGCTGTCTTCTGCTCTGGTTTGCTCTTAACCTTAGTACTTACACCCACACTATAATGTTTCATAAAAACACTATTCTTATCTGGATGCAGAATTATTTTTTACTGTTTTACATGAGTCATCTGTCAAATCAGCAAAACCAAAGTGGCAAATTATTTTTCAGTGCTGTAATGTTTTTAGGCAAATCAACCCTTTTAATGCATTAATATATTCTAAAAAATAACTTCTCACATGAACTATTTCAAACAAGTTGCAGCAAGAGCTACTACAAAGTAGTTTGTAAAATGCAGAGTATCTGCTCTGTTATTAAATCTTTATACGCTTCAGCATTCCTCATACCTATGCATATTGTATAAAGAGAGCTACATAAGGTAAAGATACATTTTAAAAACAAAAAATGAAGGGTACAAAAGCTAGCTAAGTAGGCTTTCCTAATGAGTTAAGAGAATTACGTAAGTCAAATACTGTATTACCAACCATCACTCATAAGGAATCATCATAGGAAAAATAAATAAAATCAGCACTTCAAAACTGCACCTTGTCTGGATTACAATATTTCATTGAAGTGCAACACCTCAGGACAAACTATTCGTATTCTGCAAAATGCTAAGCCTAGAAGTACTACTTAAAAGGAAATAATCCTGATTTGACAATTACATGCTTTTCATTATCCCTCCCATTTATTTAAAGGGGTGCAAGGACGTTGCTGGGTTTTGTTTGGTGAACAGCATACTTCTAAATCTTTAAACTTGAAAATTAAAACTTAAAGTCTTTCTACAGCAATAAACCAGTATGCTGATTTTGACTAGACTTGGATCAAACAATTGCTAACTCCAAGTGTCCTGCTATTCATATTATCTCCTTTCTTTCCTCTTCACAACACCAAAACTACAACAGTCAAACATAAAAAAGTGAACAGCTGTAACACAGAATAAGAAAAAAATATAGACACAATGCAGCTCTGTTTAAAGACAGTCCTTAACAGTAAGACTATTAAGTAATTACCAAAAATACATAACCACTTGGTCTACTACTCCTCCACTTCTCAAAATCACGTGGAGCTTGCGAAAGCAAATGCAAGGAGGAGCCAGCTGATGCCAACAAAGCAGCTGCATTGCTGAGAGTGGTGGACACTGATGTCATCAGCTTGCTGCAGCTTTTTCTGCTTTGTCCATTTCTTCCCTTCTATGCTGATACACTCCTTTCCACTAATCTGCCACCTCTTTTCCTCTCTTTGTCTTTCCTACATAGTTTTCTCTTTCCTCTTAATACATCCTTTCCAAACTGATTAAAATGAAACTAAAGGCAAAACAAAGAAACAAACAAAAACAAACATTTTCATCCAACTTAGGAGCATCTCTATTTTCTCCATTCTCTGTTTATTCTGGTCTATCTTACAGAATGGTCTCCATGCCAAAAAACTGTTTCTGTACAGTGAATAGGATAGCCTTGGATCTAAAATGTAATGGTATAAATAATTGTTTCTAGGTCTGTGTATATCTAATACAGTAATTCCTTCATCCATACAATGTTTTAATTACTGGTTCTTTAAACCACCATCAATCCTCAAAATTCTACCATTCAGTTAAGGCATAATGGATTTCCCAAAAGGTACTTTTGGAAATCAGTGACAAAATTACTTGGAACTTACTTGTGTGCAATTGTTGTTAGTCGTTCATCATTTACTGCTCTCCGAACTTCAGCACGATGTCGCTCTGTTGAAATACTATTAAAAAAACAAAGCAAAATATTTTAATCAGAGGAAGACATGAACATTCATCTGAAAATTCTGGCTAAAATTAAACTTATGAATAATTTATCTCAGAGAAGAAAAGGAACGGGACTTTACTTTTAAGACATTGTCACTTAACCCTTGCTGTCACAGAGAGAATAAATTATATCACTGCTCAAAAACATCACTGAAGGACAAAAAGAACATTACTGTTCACAAGGTAGCCTTGAAAAACAGCTAGAATCCAACTTCCTAAAGAAATCAATACATTTAAAGGATATGGCAGAAAAGTTCACACAGGACACACAGCATTCTTTCTTGAGGTACCTTGGGTTCAATGACCTTGGAGTTCTACCTTGACAAAACCCCAAGCCACTGTACATTCATGACCCCACTGTAACCCTTTTAATACTCAGTATCCCAAAAAGTACCAACAAAACCCGTAAGGCTTCTACTACTGAAGGATGGTTTTTTTCCTCATTAAAAACTCCAAGGAGAACAGGAATGAAACCTCGGCAACATGGAGAACTACTTCTCCAAATTCAGACTTATGTTGTGATCCCAGTGAAAGAAAAAGCATGTAACACCATAAAAGAAAACAAGTCAGTTCTTAGTTTGAAAAGATCAAGGTTACCTAAGCACTTTAGAGAGTTCTCCAAGAAGATCCTTCTTCTCTTTTGTAAGGTCTCCCTGTGCACGTAAGGCACTGATGACACCTGCATAGGCCTCCAGTTCTGAAGAATTAGAGTGAATAATATTTCTATTTAATGCTCACAGAAAGAGGAAAAAAAGTTGTTTTCCATATTACTGATGGCATTCTAATAATTTTCAAAATCATTAAAAGTAACGTCTTTCAATTATTTACAGCTATTTCAAAAGAGATTGATGAGTTGGAACTCTCTCAGTCAATTACTCTGCAGCATAAAACATTTCTATGAAACAACTGTCTCAGCACAGAGGATTATCTAGTTTACAAACCCAAATGAATGCGTCAAGCTCTCCATGACCTGACAATTCAGGCAAAAAGCTTGAAGAAACTGTTTGGAGAGTAGTTCAGAACTCCCCTCACACGTATCATTATTATGAGTTCTATGGAAAAGCTTGGCCTGGTAAAGAAATACACTATCAAAAGAGCAACTGTTTTTCTTGGAATGCCTTTCCCTAATCAGCATGGAGAACATCAGCTCTAGTTTGTTTAATATGATCATCATAATCTTTTATGCCTATTTACTTGATATGGTACAACTGCTTGAGTCTGAAAGAAATGCAGCACAATGAATTAACCTGCTCAACACAAAATAAACAATCCAGCTATTCTTAAACACAGAACTACCACAAAGACTAACTCACAAAAATACAACTCTGATTTACCAGAAATGTGTAATTCCAGGTGACTGAGCTGTCATGCCATCAGCACTTTAAAAAAATCAAAACATAAAAGGCTACTGGTATTTTTGAATGTTGTCCTACTGGACAGGATGAAGATACACCTAATGCAAATAATGAAGCCTGCTAATTTGGCAAAGAATGACTTGCTATTCTCAGCTTCACATTGCTTGGGGAAACCCAAAACAAAAATTCTCTTGATCCTTACATAGGTGCCTTTCATTTGACACTTCCATTTCAGCAGCCAACCCAAACAACCCCAAGTTACCCAAAACCAAGAATAAAAGGTGCAGGCCAAAACCGAACATTGCTGAAGTTTGCTGCAAAAGAAAAGACTGATGATGCTTTTCTGAAAAGCTTTCCATTTAGGATTCCAAAGATCTAATTTACAAATGAAATCAAGGAATTGTTCTGAAAAGAAGTTCTGCTCTCCTGTCCCAATTAAGCAGATAAAACAAAAAGCAGAGTAATTTTGGCTAGCAATGCAGCCTGCACGGGAGATGCTGAGTGACCTACAGAAGCATTTACAGCTTCAGTTATAAAACATTCACTAATTAATGCAATGGTAATTATTAATATTAACATTTATTTAGACAATCATGTTACAATACTCATGGTACTATTTTCCTCTGTTAACAACTTAAAGTAATTCTCAGATGCAACCATAATTATTTATCAAGGGCACACTTTTTTTTCCTTTTGCATTATAAATAAAGAGCCTCTACACTATAGCTGTAAAAATGCACATTCTGGTCTTTTGGAAGCTAGTAAGGATTACAGAACAGCTGTAACTTCCTCCCCTTTGTGTTTATGCAGCAACACAAAACACATGAAATAGCTAAAATGGGTTTGGCAAGTAAATATTATTGCTAGTTTTAGGTGCCACGATCATCACCTCGTTCAGTAATAAACCACAATCAACACCAGGTCCTGCACACCTCAAGATGCATTTCAGCCTCACCTACATCCCTGCTTCACTCCTTACAGAGTACTCCCACTACTGCTGTACCATTAGCCAAATTAGATATTGGTCTGTGAGCTGGAAAAGCAGGACCCTCTAAAGTAGATGGCTATTGCTGCATGTGACTGTCACAGAGCCACTGCTCCCACTGCCTGTGCTCCTTCACCCCCTAGTCCCGTGGTATGCTTCCTCTCAGCTCACAGAGGCAGTGCCTCAGCCTTACCCTGCTGGCAGGGCCCCCTTGTGGGGACACAGCTCATGCCAGCAAAGCAAAAAGTATTATTTTTGATTTTTTTCCCTTCCTGTCAGCATAGGTTATGTCATTGAAGGAGGTGCAGCTGCACTTCTCTTTGGCTCAGCTGCACCAGCAAGGTTCTGCCAGCACACTGCTGTTAGCCCGGGTGAAAGGGTTTTTCCAGGCTTCCAGCCAGCACAGCTATGTTAATGAAACTTAGTAGCACATACCTAGTCCAAAGTTTTTGGCACTCTGCACTTTTTCCTAGTTTCTGTGCTTCTTGAGCCTTGCTTAAGGCTTAGGGTTGTCACCTTAACAGACAGTATGGCTTGTTGCAACACTGTGTGCAACACCTGCATAACTGTTCCAACAGCATACAAATCCCACATTCCCAACAAATGAAATAAAAAGGGCAAAGGGAGGGAAAATAAATTCTCAACTCTCAAAAAATAAAGTGGATGGCTCTGCAACGTATGAGAAGCTTGGCACAGTTAAGAAATACAGCACACCATCTCTCAGCAGTCAAACAAAATGAGAACAAGAAAAGCTGTCACTTGACAGTCACAGGAAGTTAGAGGGAGCCCCAGCTTTCTTCTTGACATCATCTCCCAGATTATGGTCCTCAGAAGAAACTGAAAAATATAAGGCTTTCTTCTTTTCCCATCTAGTATCATTTAACTGGCAAACCCCCAAACCCTTCATTACACAAATTCAGCCATAAGAACTCAAAACCAACTATGCCAGATCAGATCAAAGGTCCAACAAAGGATTCTCTCCCCTGCAGTAGCCAAAAGCAGGTAAGTGAGGAAAGAGCAAACGTTTTTATTACTTTCCAAAACACAGAAGCATCTCTCCTCATACACTTAGATTTACAAGGACAGAGCACAGAAACATCTTCTAGTGTCTATCTCTTGGGCAGGGGTCTCAAATACTGAGCTACATTTGAAACAATGAAAAAGACTTCTGTGATTATGGCAGTTGAGTGAGGACATAATTTTCCCACTTCCCTGACAACCTGAGTAACTGCAAATCACAAACAGCATTTTTTTATATTCTGATTTATGTCTTCACAATAATAACTTCAATACTTGAATCATCCCTACAGTGACAGTTAACCCGGATTCCACTATTTTTTGGGGGGTACAAAAAGGTGTCTAATACAGAACTGGGGCGGACAAAAACAATCAAAAACCACAACAAAACAGAAAAAAAAAAAACAAACTACCCCAAAGGTTTTCGTTTCACAGAAAAGTGTGCTGCATGTTAATAGTGACAGAAAAACCCAGCTCTGCAACACAGCAACTAGAGAGATTTGACCAAATCAAAACAATTCTTCTCTACTCATTTTGCTAGGGCTGAGAGTGTCGGCCAAACATAACTTTAAGCCAGGGCTGTCAAACCAATGACACATGGAAAACACAGGAAATTACTTGCAAGTTGCCTGCAGACATATTAAAATATTTCATGCAAGCAGCACGAAGGCAAATCTTCAAAGGGCAAAATGCAGACCCACAAATTGTATCATCTTACTGTACCCAGTTTGCGAAGGATCCTCTTGCACTCATCCCTACTGAGGTCCAGAAGAGTAGGCCACACCACAGGCATCCTTCCCTTGTGTCTGTGCTCCCACAGAGCTCAGCCTCGCTGGAAAAGGAATATAAATGCTCAAGCCCACAATTTATTGATTTCCCAAGCCGATTAATGTAAACTCCTCAGTCTGCTCACAACTCCACATTCGCTCTCATCCCCGCCCCAATCTCTGTAGTGGCATGAAGGAATTCGGCAGTTTCACAAGGGCATGGACTTCCTATGCTCCCTAGCTCAAATGCATCACCCAAGCCTTTTTACAGCGTCCTATCTCCTTCTGAAGCCCATTTTTTTTCAGGCTGAAACGCTCTCCGAAATGATGTTCGAGTCTCCTCCCTCTCTTTATGCAGAGTACCTATTAAAAGAATTCTTCCAGCGAACCGCGCGCTCCCCTTCCCCCCGGAGAACGCGTTTTGCGCCAGCCTATTATATTACATGACAGGATGGCAAAAACATCGTGTGTGAAAATTTGCTCTCCACATACCAACACCTGCCCCCTCCCCCAAGAAAAAAGCCAAACACGGGAACACCTCAATCCCGACGCAGCGAGATTCCGTGGGTGGCGGGGAGAGAAGGCGCATCTCCCCGACGCGACGAGGATAATAAAGGAAAAAGAGCAGCCGGAGGCGAGTTGGGCAAGCGGGACTGGGGCCGGGCAAGGAACGGCACGACAGTGGGGGTGGGGAGGGGTGGGCACCGGGAACAAAAGCCCTGACGCCGTCGCAGCTTGCAGCGTGGGGCTGGAAGGGGGAAGGGTCTCCTACAAGGACGCCCGAAGGCAGCCGCCACCCGGGCGCTCCCCGCCCGCCCTTCCCGGGCCCTGGGCGCGGGGCACTGTCCGGAGCCAGCGGCGCTGGGTCCCCGCCGGGCTCGGGGAAAGAGAGAGAGGGAGCGGGCGGCGGCTGGCGCTGCTTCCCCGCATCGGCCGGAGCGGCAGCGCCGGCGGGCGGGGGCCGGGGCGCTGCCCCGGGCCCCTATGGGGCGGCGGGTCTCCGCCGTCCCGGAAACGGAGCTGCCCCTCTCCCTGAGGCGGACCGCCCCGGGTAGGGCGGGGAGCAGGACCCACCTGCCCGGCCGTGCCCAGTACATCGAAGGCTCCGCGGCAGCCGCACCCCTCCCCCCACCGTTCGCCAGTGCCGGGCTCGGGTTTGTTTAGTGGCGGCGGCGGCGACGGCGTTTACTCGGGCCAAGATGGCGGACGAGGGCACTGCGCAAGCGCGGACGCAGCGAGGTACGCTAGGAATTGTAGTCTCTGCCGCCCCTCTGCCGTAAGGAGCTGGAGGAAACGCGTGCCAAGATGGCCGCTCGAATGAGCACTACGCATGCGCGCTGGCAAGGAGCATGCTGGGAACGATAGTTCTTCTCGGTGTTTCTTGACCCGTGGGAAGCGGCGCCCGCCGTCCCGCCGTGGCTCGGCGGGCGGGTACGGGCAACCGGAGGGGACAAAATACATTGCGCGTTCTCTACCCCGGCTGGGGCGCGCTAGCGCGGTTGGAACGCAACCGCTTAGCCCAGAACTCTAGGAAATAACAGCTGGCCATCACTCCTGGAACGAAACATGACAGCGGAGAACGTCACCCCCACGCCATTTGGCTATCTGCAGTTTTCTACCTTAAAACGGACGCAGGTGGCGCGCGGGGTGCAGCGAGCCGCCTGTGGGGAGCAATGAGGGAACAAATCGCGCACCTAGAGCCCCCTCCCTCACAGCGCTCCGCCGTGTCTGCTCCCGACACCGCGAGGGCATTGTCACAGCCCCGGGCCTGGCCGCTCCTCCGGACTTTACAGCGATTATAATTTGTTTTCCTGAAGATTTCCATGAAAAGCAGTAAATTTTATCTGTTTGAAAATCCTCGAATCAAATTAGAAAGAGAAAATAAAATGTCTCGGGTGCAGCTGAAAAGTAACGCGTCCTGTTGTGGCTGCACGTTGCAGCGAGAAAGTATAAAATAATCTGTGGAAAATGTATATTTTATTATTGGCTTTTTGCAAATATTAAAATGAATATTATATGTGTTAAGTTAGAAAGTTATGCTGTATTAATTTTCTTAAGTAGTGTGTTAAATATAGTTTTAGGTTATTACATAATGTTAAAATAGAAACTATGCTATGTAAGATACTTTTTTTAAAAAATAAAGGACTCGCACTGAGATAGCAACCACAAGACGCCTAAATCTTTCAGAGAAAGAGAATTTATTGCTCACTTATCAGGAGAAACTAATTTCTTCCTGCCATGAAGGCACCGTTAGGATTCAGAGGAAGAAGTTGACACTGACCAGACAGAATCCTGTGTTTAAATGGAATTTATGCATAATGTATGCGACGTATGAATATATAACAGGCTATCGTTTTTAAGGGTTAAATCCTCTGTTAACATGTGTCCTTTTGCCGGCTTATTTTACCCAGAAAAAGGTACCCGGACCATCCGTAACTCTTTGTTCTTATTGTCTCATATTGTCCTAATACAAATTGTCCAAATTTTTATTACTCTAATTATATTACTATTTTTATAACTATTTTATTACTATTAAACTTTTAAAATCTTAAAAACAAGTGATTGGCATTTTTTCACACTTGCTGTTTCCTGTTATTCTTCACAGCAATATAAATCTCAAGTACTTGAAAACAATTATGCTGAACAGTACAAGACAGCTAGAAATTGTCTTTTTCTCCTTTTAATGCCTTCCTAAACAAGAATGAGCTGAAGGCAAGTAGCATCATATTGCATAATATTGCCTAATAAATGTCCTAAGATTTGTACAAATGGGAAGATGCGGGTTTGTGCCAGAAGTTGGAGTTTTCCTTTCCATGTCAGAGACTCCACTGGAAAGGAAATCACAAATTCCAAACCTGGAAATCACAGAATCCTAGCATGGTTTGGGCTGGAAAGGACCTTAAAGCTCATCCAGTTCCAAACTCCTACCATGAGCAGCAACACTTTCTACTAGACCAGGTGGCTCAAGATGTGTCTTTTAGTCAGACTACTCTGGTCAACAGGAAAAGGCAAGGACAGCCTCACCACTTACCAGACTATAAACTATTTGAGATTTATTCAGAATTTGTAATTATGATGCTCTAGCAGGGTATGAATTTTATTGCACCCAAGATGTTCAACAGCCAGCCCTGATACTTGTAGAATAAATTATTCCATGAGCAGAAATGTCCAAACCTGCCTTCTTAAAGAAAACTTAACTACTAAGATCTAGGTTTTAGCTGGATGTTATGTTTCAGTTTGTGTGCTTATGAAAGTGCTTTGTTCTCAGAGTGGAATTGCTGCTAATCATGCAGCTCATAAGGATCAGAAATACCTTCTTCAGACTTGCTTAAATGTAATTAGATTTATTTTGTATTTGTTTTCGATCTTTAATTTTTTTTTCCAACATGGATGAAAGTAGCCAAGAGAATCAAAAGTTATTGTGGGTAAGGTGGACAGACACATATGTTTGTATGGATGTATTCAAGAAAATGGGATTTGCTTCATTTCCTTTGGTACACAGAGCAGAAAAGCAATATAAAAAATGAGTCAGTTATGTATGTATGAAATGTCTGAAGCTGTGGTTGCTGCGTTTCTACAGATGTCCTAAGATGACTTTCAAGAATATTTATTGAGGATGAAGATGCAGACTTGGAGATGTATGAGCGGTTCAGAAAGCCCAAAAGCCAAATTTTTCTTGTAGTTAAAGCCATGATGTTACCATTTACTTCAGACTAGCCTACAATCAATTCTTCATTACCCAGAAAAATGGGAGGACTGAGATAGCATGGACAAAGTAAAAAAATGCCCAAAGCACATAAATAATGAGTCCTGAAAAGCACAAAAAGGCCAGAGCTCTGCAGCTGTTAATCAGCTTGGATCAATAACCAAGATTGTCCAAGCAGATGCACCAGAACTACCCCCAAACCCAGCAAGGTCTGGTCAGGAGGGCCTTCTCTAGTCAAATCCCACATCACATAACCAGTCTGAGAACATCACAGATCTTTCTGTAAAACTGTGCCAGGGTTGTCTGAGTTCAGAATGACTGCACGCAGGCAGCTCAGATCTCCTAGCCTAATTCAAGAGACTGAGACTTGACAGCATTTCCTTATGTCTGATGACCAAAATACCAAGTGTTCCAGTTGTAGACTAAAAAAATGAGAAGAAAAAAAGACAACGTGGTTTAGGCTTACTTCATTAATCCAGAAACATGGCTAAATGTCCCACATTTGGTCAGTAAACTCATATAAAATAAATAAAGTCATTGTAGGTAAAGGAAAAAAAAATCAGTGTGAAAATGCCAGCATTTTTTCTAGCCTTTGATGCCTCACAGATACTAATAATTTTTTAATTTCTCATTACCTACATCCTTGCTGTCTGAGTCATCATTTAAGGAGACCCAAAATTACAGAGCACTTTCTGAGTGTCCAGAAAGTAAAACAAGATACAGAATTGTTGTCAGCAGCATTTTGTCATCTTTCCTAAGGAAGCAAAGCTCAACAATGTAAAAAAGCCACAACGTGAAATTAATTTGTCAGTCAAAGGGAGCTAAGAACTCAAATGATCAAATCCGATGGTGACGTGATAAGCAACACTCTTCAAGTTGTTGTGATCTCTCTTGTGCCTTCATTTCCCACTTTTATAATACATTTTAAAAACTAACAACAGACAGTGATATGTAACAGCTAGGCATTATGTGTAGGGTTGTGAGGCCCTGGCACAGGTTGCCCACAGCAGCTGTGGCTGCCCCATCCCTAGCAGTGTTCAAGGCCAGGCTGCATGGATCTTTCAGCAACCTGGTCTAGTGGAAGGTGTCCCTGCCCACGGTAAGGAGCTGTACCCAGGACATCTTTTAGGTCCCTTCCAACCAAAACCACTCCGGGATTTCATGATTAATTTTATAAAAGCATGCTGCTGAGTATTCTTTTTAAGAATTTGCTCAATTGTATACATTTAAACAAAATCTGTTCCTCCTTTCAGAAAGGGAAAGAAAAATGCCATCAATCTCTACTACTTTTTGTTGTTTTCTACAACCCAACAATTTCAGATTCCCCATTGGCTTAAGTAATATGAATCTCATACATAACAGACACTGGTCTAATTAATCACACTTTCTGGTTTTGGGTGCTAACAGAATATTCTGCCTCACCACACTTATTTTTGTCCTCAAAGAAAATGGAAGAGAGAAGGAAGTAAGCTTGGAAGCCTCAGCTGTGAGATAGCCCAAGGAAGAGCTATGATTTTCCCAGAGAGGCGATTTGTATGCAGCTCAGGTCACCAGGACAAAGCTGTGCTTCTCAGCTCTTTAGGAGCTCATAGGAAATGAGTGGAGCAGCCTTGCTGTAGTTCTCACTGGGTTATTAACTGCATCTCCCCTTGCATCACTACAACCCGATTGATACAGGCTCTGCAATAATCCATTTTCTTCAGAACAGCTTTTCATGGGTAGAAGAGAGGTGCTTCAGCTTGATACTATATAGGAACCAGGTACAGCTACTGAAGCTGCTGCTTTTATGAGGTAAACAGGGAATTTCCAGCTTTCAAGAGACGTACACTAGTAATCTTAAATGTATCACTGGAAAATCAAGGGAAAAAAATGTATTTGTTTCAGTCTGCCAGCAATTGAGAAAGAAGTAGAAAAAATCCACTATGCTTTTGATACTAAGATGAATGGAACGTAGTAGATAATTTCAAATTTTAGGGAATTTAAGGATAGTTTAAAGTATCTTCCATGTCTTGCATAAGATTCTAATATAAGTTAAATTATTTCTTGGCCTTTTTTTGTTTCCCAGTGGCTTAATCAATGGAGTTTCCACTTATTCTAATGGGTTATTCAGTGACTCGATAAATTTTCCTGACATGAGCATCTCTATTTTAATGTCATTCTTCTTCTCTCAGACCATTCCTAATCTCTCTTCCTCCTCAAACACTTTCCCATCACATTTTTCCTCCTGGCTAAGAGAAAAGCAGAAGCCTCAACAATGCCTAGGTGCTGGCAGGTTGCAGAGGAGCTTTTTATACACAGCCTCGTCAGATAGATTGTGAGGTAGGACTGTTTGTAAATTCACAAAGATATTTCAGCTACTTTTACTAAAGATAGCTTTGTGTTGCCAATCAATAGATATTTCCCCCCCTATTGTAAGTAATACATATTCTATTCATCAAATGCTTTTGTTTTACAAATCCTAACAGCTTCTGAGCTGAAAGTATCTTAATTCAGCAAGCATTAAAAATGCATCAAAATGCCACTGTGTATCAAGTTAAGCATCTATTTAAACACTTTGCTACACTGAGGCAAAAACTCAACAACATAACCTCAGCTAACGAAGAAAATCACTTGTGATATTTTGCGACAAATGAAAGAAGGAATTAAACCTGGTACCCTTTGCAATCTTGGGATACAGATGAAAACTGCCGTCCTCTTTGTGGCTTGCTGTATTGGCAAAGAACATATAAACTTGCTTGCTCAGAACAGGAAGCTAAGGAATGAAGCAAAGTATTGAAGTTATTGCTCCACTGAGCCACTTGAGTCCTTATCTACGGCCATATACGTTTGTATATGTGTTATACAAATGCTGGGTATCTCTAACAAGCTTCTGCCATTCAAGAACATATATCTCAGATCACCAATTAGCAGAATTCAGTCACACTGGGAGCCAATTTGCACTGTATTTTAGGGAAGCTTGCATTTTCTCTTTCAAGTTGCCCTTTTAACTCATCAACAGACCATCTATTGCTTTAAAGCTCAAATCAACTCTCCAACAAATTACTTGCTCATGATTTTGACCAATTATTTTTACAAGGCTGAGTATGCTATAAATACTGAGGAAGGAAGTGAATATTAAAGATTATATAATCCTAATATAAGTATTAGAAATTATATTGATCCTGGAACACCTTGCAAATGAAAGTTTAAACTTACAGTATTGTTGCAGGGTGACAACAGCAACAGAAAAGCAAGATGGTGCTGCATTTACAAACCAGAAACTAGCATTATTATCACTGTGCAGTTTTCAGTGAAACTTTGGGCAAAGCCCATGCACTTTAAGAGGTTGATGTGAGCACTGGGGATTAGCAAGGCTTGTACAGAAAAATAAAGACAACCCTGCGCAGGGGCAAGCAAATAGGGAAAAGAGGAGTCAGACTCTCACTCCTAGCTCCTTCATTTTGGTGTAACCATATACCTGCAGCACAGCACAGGGTGGGGAATCTGTGATCCTGCGCTGGCTGGAACTTCAGAAGCTGCAGCAGCTCAGGTGGAAGCCTCGATTAAGAGCAGCTGCTTGGAATTTAGATGGCCTCTTCCCTCTGCAGCAGGGAAGTAGCTGTAGGCCAGAATACACAGCTGAGTAAAAAGAGTAAGTAGAACAAGCAAGAATACAGACAGCCTGTGCACTAAACCATGTTTTTTGGGCAGATCTTCACATCA